CAGAATACATCATAGACAAGTGAAAATGTGAGCAGTCATATTTTGTATATCCTGCATAAAGTTACTAATGCAGAAACTGGAAAGGTTTATTTAGATTTCATTAGCAGAAGCGGAAGTACACCAAATGCAACTGTTGTTTCTCATAAAAAATAAAATAAAAAAGACTGACGCATAACAAAAACAAATGTCTGGGATCCGGTAGTGTGGTGCAGGGGTGTTTAGACGCCAGATCCTCTAAGACGGGAGAGGCCTTACAGACCGTGGCATTGCCCCTGCATGTGCACGCGCATGGAAGCCCACCTGTTTCACATTTACATTTCTCTTTTAAGCGACCTTTGCGGTTTTGTGTGCTCAGAAATACACACAGCCACCTCCCAAAATGCACTCTGCTCATCATCCGCACCACCCCCCGCCAAGCCACCTGGAGCTGCAAGTGCCACAAGTCTTTCTGTCTACCTTTCCCATGTTGCCTCCCGAAAGCAGAGCCGTTTCGTCTAAACATTCACTCTCTCAGTGTCCCAAGAGAGTGAATGTTTTAGATGAAGAATAGTGTCCTTCGCCCGAAAGCAACAAAAAAGCACAAGAACAGTTTCCGAGAATGCATCCGTATGCCTTCGTGCCTGTTAAAATGTACTTGCTGCCATTTTTGGAATATTTATTTGGATTGGAATTACATTAATATGAGCTGCCCACTTAATAGTGGGTGGTTGGGCTGGCCATACTTTAACACGAAAGTGAGAAATATCTACAAACCAGCGCATGGCGGTCTTTTTGATCTTTGCACAACACACAAGTTCACAAACGCAAGTTCACAACACATAACTGTATTACTTTACCGAACGAACTAAAAGTAATTCCTGCAGTCACGAAAGCTCCAAATTAAGACATAACTGTATTGTCGGGGGGGGGGGGGGCATGAGATGGAGCTTCAGATTCCAAGAATCAAAGTTTTTTCGATTTTCAACCACCCTAAAATAAATTTTCTCCTTCCTAATGTCACTCCACCTTCTTAGATGCCATCTAACTTACATTCGTATATTACAATTCACCTACATTATGAACTTGTTTTCGTATTTTTATCCTTTTTATATCTTTTATTTTACTTATCCCTGACTCAAATTTTCATCGTATGTTAACGCGTGCCTCGCGCTTCAAATATTTTTTTAGTTCATGTTTGTTTGTGCAAAAGATGAGCAGGCAATGTTATGCACAAGTGCGCCATTTTAAACAACAACAGAGGCGGGATTGAACCTATGCGACCTGGTTTATTTGGTCCTTGTTCACAGCATGTGCACGATATCAAGCTGTCCGCTAATGGACAGAGCGCAGTGAACGAGCGCCGTTCCCCGGCTTCATTCAATACATCACCTGGGCCACAAATAGATTCCAGCCAACAGACGCGAACCTACCCCATCCCAAGGGCACCCACGTTGGCGAGATGTTAACTACCTCGCCTGGTATACAGGAGGTCGTGGGTTCGATCCCGACCCTGTCGCCTGCTGTATATTTGGAGTTTGCGTGTTCTCCCTGTTGTCGTGTGGATTTTTCTCTGGCTCCTCCAGTTTTCCCCTTCACATTTATAAACGTGTGTTTTGAGTGTTGGCTGCTATAAATTAACACATGATAGGGCACTTAATTGAGCTATTATTTGTGGCCAGGTCACTTCTGAAAGAGAGCTATTTAGCTGAATGGACCTTACCTCGTTAAATAAAATATAAAGTTACTGTCTAATAGCTCGTAGGTTTGCAAACGTCATAATACGTTTGATACACAGTGTATTGCCACTTAAAAAATATTGGCTATTATAAATGCCGAACTCCACAGCATTTGCTTCAGTTTATCCATAGTCCCCTTGCATTCAAAACATTCTGGGATTTTTCTAACAACCTACAACTGATTTATCAGAAGAAAAAATATGATAATTGTTTTTTTACCCTCTTATCTGGTAACAAAACTGACACTTTTTTTTTACAAGGAGTCATGTTTGCATAGACCACAATACCTGCAGTCATAATGCAAACAAAAAAGCATAACTCTGTTAATGTATGCACTGTCCTTGAAGTTGATTGGTCCACACCCGAGACAGCTTTCCTTAGAGCCTAGTCTCATATGGTGTTGGACCAGATGACGCATGACCCAGATAACCAGATGACACATGGTGTTGGACCAGTGCGCCTTTTTGCGTCATCTGGTCCAACACCATGTGAGACTAGGCTCTAAGGAAAGCTGTCTCGGGTGTGGACCAATCAACTTCAAGGACAGTGCATACATTATCAGAGTTATGTTTATTGTTTGCATTATGACTGCAGGTATTGTGGTCTATGCAAACATGACTCCTTGTAAAAAAAGGTGTCAGTTTTGTTACCAGATAAAAGGGTAAAAAAACAATTATCAACCTACAACTGGTTATGCCATGCTGATGGACCCTTACAATGGTGAAACACTTCTCTGATAATTGTGCTCATGCTCTTTGTTTACCCATGAAAGTCTCACCGATTTTCAAGACTCTTGTTCAGGACGATCCTTAAGTTGTGACATGAGGGCCATTGTCATCCATTGTTTTGTTTCCGTGTGGGAGTAATCTGGAGTAACCTGGAGAATGTACTCTTTATTTTTTTCTCTAAAGTCACGTAGGTAAAACATAAATAAATGAAAAACAACTAAATTAAATCACGACGTTTCGGAGGCAACACAAGCTTCTGTCTTCAGGCGGAACCGTTACAGCCAAAATTACTGTAGTAAGTGAAGAGAGCTAATAGAGAAACGCGACTCTATAGGGTAAGAGGCGGGTAGGAGCTAAGTTAGGGGGGGGGGTGCCGTGTGGAGTCGGGGGGGGGGCGATTGCTAGGCTGAGTTAAGCCGATTGATAATATCTATTCATTATGCAGGAGAGGGGGGGGGTATTGGGGTACCGTGAACAACGGGGCGGAGAATGCACATCCACACAAGGCGAAACACATCAAAGCCATGTCCAGGCTGATTGAAGAACAACAATGACATGCTGCTGCCTCCAGTCCACCTTTGCCTTAGCCGAAACCTATAGCACCTGATATTTACTGGTCGTCTCCCATTCTGAGGTTTGGTGCGTTCAGGGATATTTATTAATCCCTTCATGGAAGACCTGTTAGTGGTTCTATATTTTTCAAGAAATAAAATGTTCTTAACAAAAATGTATATCTATATCTGTTAACTCACCTCCTTAAACGGTATTCATATAATATACAGCGAAGACAGTACATCCTGTAGTGTAGACTGCATATTGGGAGTGATCATACAGTATAACCTCTATTTTGGAAGCTATTGTACATACCCAAACTATGAGCAATTTATTAAACGCACAGTATTGTAAGTCTGCTCCTTCAATAGAGGAGGAACGGCAGAACTACACGAACTCTCATGAAGGCCTTTCATAGGCTAGTAGGCCTCGACATTGGCATTTATCTCCTAAGCATATTGCCATCATATGCAAAAACAGAATATAATTGATTTACTCAAAATGCAAGAAAATCCAGGTGATTGTTATTATTACCACATGTATTAATTAATCGTAATATTTTATTTTGTTTACTTGGCCACTGCTTGTGATGGATAACATGTTATTTAATTCGTGTGAAGGAGACCAGTTGTAAATTTCCTGATGTCTCGTGTGCCGGTTGGCTTGCGGAGAGTATTTTGGAGGTGCTTTGCTTTGTTCTGATTTGTAGCATTGATTCTTAACAGCGCAAAAAATGTGAAGTAAAAATAAACAAAGCACACAAAGTGTCCCTGCTGAAGAGAGCAGGTCTGCCGTTCACAATTTATACAGCACTGGTTTATACTGATCGGTTTGTTACAGCTTAGCTGTCTGCAATCAGATCGTCTTTGGACTTTGTGTTCAATTACAGATTTTGTTTTAAACAAGATACAGTTAATCCCCCTTCTTGCACCAAAAAAAATGCCATAAAACCCTCTTAAGGCCCCTTTAAGTTTCCTACAATTTACGACTATTTTACATAAAGCTTAAAGAAATACAGCATACCCTGCCAAGCTTCCGCCAAAGCGTAAAATAAACTTGCTCCAAATAGTGTATATAACTCCAGTTTTAGATAACAGGGCATTGTTTTCCGCTAATGGGGGCTTTGTTTAGTGGAAGTCAGGCTACTGGCAGCCGGAATAAAATGCAACAACGTTAGCTGTTTTGTTTTGGGAGTAATAGGACACCTCCAGTGAATGTTGTGCATGACCTCTAGACAGGCTACTGCTGGGAAGTCGCCAACATTTAATGTGCAACTAGCTGGCCACCAATTTCTGCCAAATTTTCTCGAGAATTATTTATTGATTTTTTGCAGTTGACCGAGTTCCCACGGAGAGCTGACACGTGTGCTTTATTTTCAACTTTAATTGTTTTTTGTTCCAACCCCCCCCCCCACCGCACCAGCCCTTGTAAACGACGAACGTGCAAGACCCCTTTGCGTTTTAGTTTTCAAGGGACGCTGTTTCTAAATGTGTTTCACATTAACCTTTTAAGCATTTCCTGCAATACTGCAAACACATTTTGAGCAACATTGAAATTGTGCGTACACACGGCAATATGGGCGTTCGGTGAAGTCTAAGATAATTTAAATTGACTACACGGTCAGACTGCTTCAAAGTATTCAATAGAACAATTGAACTTAAATTCACGTGCCAATAAAGTCGGCATCAGTGCACATTGCAAGGGAACGGTACAAGGGGCACGGAGCAGCAACAGGAATGAGAAAAGAAACCCGTCACGACCTCAGCGGATAACACCGACCGAGCAGAGTAAATTGCAACCGCGCGCAAAATAAAGTGCAACCGGGCACAACGAATAAGCGAAAGAAGGATACGTAGCAAATAAAATAAAGAAGATGAAAAATCAAGAGTCTGTAATGTCACAATAGAAATTGAAAAGCGCGAATGACTACTTCCATTCTGTGTTGTTTCTCACTCCCTTCTCTCGGGCCCCACAACCCTCCTCTTCTCCACGTTCCTCTCCACAGTTCCGACTTGTAGTGAAGACGGCCCTCAAGCTCCTCGTGGTGTTTGTGGAGTACACCGAGTCGAATGCGCCTCTGTTCATCAAGGCCGTAAACACAACGGACAGAAAATCAGGTACCGGCGAAACGCTACGTTCATGCGCACACGTGCGTGTTGGGAAGGGTGCACGTGTGCGTCTGTGCGTCCACTTTTTCCTGCAAACCCATAACATCTGGTCTGCCCTTTGACCTCCTGTCAGCAAGCCTTCACCACTGTGCTTGGCCTTAGAGTGCACGGAGCCTGGCACGGCCACTGAGGTGACATCACCACCACTTAGTGGTGAATGGGTGCTGTTGTTGCAGGCACACACAAGAATTATAAAATTTTCGAGGATTTAACTATAATCATAAATTTTCCATCACAGGCTTTTGGACATTTCATTTTTTTTTTGTTTTTTCATAGGCTCACCCTGAAGGAAAGATAGGATATGAACTGGTTTTAACTTCATGGTTCAGTAACATCTTTCATGATTATGAGAAATCAGACCATGTGTGTTCATATAGCCACATGAAACATAAAGGTATAATAGCGTTAGCACCCTGGACTTGCCGGTTCGATCTCGCGGCGCGACAGTTGAAACATTGGTGCAAGTTTTTTAAATCCCTGTCCACCCAGCGGTATAAATGAGTCCACTCCAGTTGAATTGATCAACAGGTTGCGTGTGGTGAGGTAAAGCGCAGGGACTCCCACGTCTTCCACACTGTCTGGTCGGTGTGGAAGACATGGGCCAACAGATCCTCTGGGGGGTGCTCGAGAGAGCAGCAGAGGCCCTTCTGACAGCTGTGGCATGAGCGAGCAATGGCAGGGTCGCACCTCTACCATTTACCTTCATCTAATCGTATGAAAGTGAGGTATGGTCAGACAACTCCAGTGACCAAGACAGCCTCCATCCAGCGGTGGTTTGACAACGGTCTATCAATTAAATTCATGATATTAATCGTATGAACATTTTCTGGAGTTCTTACTTGACAATGAATTCATATGAACAATGAACTATGGATGTATTGAAAGTGGGTGTACGTGATGTGACTGCTTTACAATGGGTCTTAATGTACAATTGTTTCATTCTTCCAGGAGTTAAGCCATGGTCCAACATTCTGGCCATCCTGGATGAGAAGGATGGCATTGACACAGAATTGCTGGTTTTTGCCATGACGCTTCTGAACAAGGTAATTACTACTGCGCCACATTAAGACAGAACGCAATTCTCATCCTGGTCTATGCCGCATTTATCAGATTCAGCATTTCCTGTTGATGGCATGGCTTATTTGGCATGCTCAATGTACTGTAGACTGACTGGTCTATGCGGTATTGCTCCACCTTAAATGGTAGGCCTGTCGCATTGTTTTCTCATAAAATATTAATGTCTTCTCACCTAATTTCTCTCACTCTCAAGGTCTACAATTTGGTTTGGGTACATCCCAGCTCTTTTAAAAAAAAAAATATAGAGTTTACAACCATAATTTATTCATGTTTTATCGAGCTTAGAGATAGGGTAAGGGCATCAGCCAAATTTGCGTCAAAAATGCTTATTAAATTTCACAAATGTAAAGACCTGCATTCGAGTAAACATTTTGAACTGTGAGCAGATAAAAACCAGCAAACTGGCATACATTGCTTGACGTAAAATCCAGCGTATGGCCTTACGCCTTACATAAGCTATCTGGAACATAAAATATTATAGGTGTAGGATTTACAACTATCAAAAATATATTGGCGTCATATTTGAGACCCTGTTATTCTAATGAACGATATAAACCTACTGGAAGCTTTTCAGAGCTGTTTGATGAGCTACAACGTACAGAGTGCTGCTTTGATTGGACGGAGACATGCAGCCATTGCCAGAAAACTGTGCATTAGCAGCCCTGGATCCTGGCTCTGAGCTTATAAATAAACAGGCTATATGGCACTTGTGCTCTTGCTGAGTAGCAGCAGATCATAGATAACGAATACGTAATATTGAATTAACAACGCTTAATCATAAAAGGCACAACAGGCCAAAAACATTGCCGTGTGGCTCCATGCACAATCAGATGCGAGTGGTTCAGTGACGGCAGACAAAACATTTCTCAAGACCTACGTTTTATGCGAGCCGCTTTACGGCCTGTGGACACTCACCGGTTGGCAACTACGCAGCGCAAGCCACCAGTCGAGCCACCCCCCCCCCCCCAACATCAACAACCTCCCCTCCCCACCGCCTCCTCCTCCTCCTCTTCCTCTCACAATGGAGCCTGCTAGCAAGGCCAGCCCCAATGGCTGTCAACGTTTCGCTCGCCTGTCAAGAGCCGGCTGTGGTAGCCCCTCAACGGCGAGCGCGCTTGCGAGCGTCCGCGCTTGAACCCGCGCGGGGCCACAACGGACTGACCTCACACGTCAGAATGCGCTCGATCACTGGCGCAAGCCAGACTTTGCAAAATGCGTACAAGTGGGAGCGGGGTTTATAGTGCCGTGCCAGGCTGCAACGTAGCGCAGGCTTTGTAGGTGGGGGAAAGCGATGATACTGCGCTCTGAATCTAGCGAGCGGAGTTCGATTACTGGCCACGGCTAGCATGTATAGCATGTGATGTCTGAACTGGTCCTGATCCTCGTCTTTACTCACCTGCAATGACCAGAAAGGGGAAGTATGGTCAAAACCCCCAATGATTGTGGAAGACTTCATCAAGAAAGTGAATTTACAGAGGTCTGTAAAAAACTGTTGTCGTTAACATAGAAGGTGGAATGGAAGAGACGAATTGCCCCGTTGATTTGCCGGTTCCGTTATTGTGCCGCTGTTGGCGATTTTAACATGCAAACAAAAAGGTTATACTTAAATTTCAGTGGTGCACAAGCACAAATAACAAAAACATCTCAACACATGAGTCAATTACACTGCCTCAACAAATCCATGGAGTGTTCCTCATTGTTAGGTGGTTGCATGGAGCCAATTCATCTCTATGCGAGAGTGAGCGGAAAGTAGCCGAGTAGCAATAAACAACAATAGAGTTAGATTCATATACAAATCACACTTTTCTTCTGATATAACCTGGCAATGTGAATTTACTGGAGTAAAAACGTCAACATATTTCGTTTAAAGTGACTTGTTTCATTATATACATGGGATTTCACGACCAATATTATGATTCATAATTAGTTTAGTTTGGGTTAGGTCGTCGTGTGGGCATAATGTAATAAACAATTAATTGAACTATAACCCTGCACCACCTAATTGTCTCTGGTGGGTTTAGCTCAACCGCTGCTTATCAATTTGCAAGAGGGCCTACAAAGACAAAAAGGCTAGAGGTCCTAAAACCCTTTCGTGTGATCATGGAAAATCTCCAAATTGCTGCTACGCGTCGCCGAGACGAAATAATAAGGGGGGGGGGGGTGGTAGAAGCATTATTGATGTGCAGACTTGGCATGATCATGCGCGTGTGTTTTCCTCCGTCTGCATTGCAGACCCTGGCAGCCCTTCCAGACCAGGACACGTTCTACGACGTGACGGATTGCCTCGAAGAACAAGGAATGGAAGCCATCGCGCAGAGGCACCTGGCAAAACGTGGTGGCGACCGGGACCTGGCGGAGCAGTTCAACATCTACGAGGTGTGTACGTATGTGTGTACGTTGAACTTCTGTCGCAACGTATGTATGCGAACCGTGATAAATAATCCAAAATCGCGTGATGTCATTTATGGACGGATCCTTAATATAGCCCTTCTACAGAGTATTTGGGCTGCTCTTTCTCGTTGCCCAGATGTCTCGGATAAGGTGGCAGTACCCACGCTTTACTTCACACGAACTGAACCTTATGGCAGGACCCTGGGGTCCCGAATAAACGGAAGTCAAAATCGTAATTATTATTTTTTATTTTTGGCTACTCCGTCCCACCGCGCACACAAGCGCCGCGACCCACCAGAAATCAATCGTCTCGTTCTTCACCAAGCACCCGTCGTTGCCAAAATTGCCGTAGTCATGAACAAAACTTCGAAACTTCGATTAGCGCATCGTGTAGGGCTCGTCGAGAGTAACAGATTGCCGTACCGGTCGCCTTCAACAGACATAAAATGACGTCGCAACGCAGTTTTACGCGAGAGCCGGGGGCTTATGGGACCCCGGGGTCCCGCCATGAGGTTCAACTGTCTATTAACTGTGGTGTACTCATTGATCCTGATGGGTGGATAGAGGTGGGTGGATTTTTTTTCAAACATACCCACCGTTTCAACTGCAAAGCCACGAGGTCAAACCGGTTGCCTCTGGACTGCCAATCCAGGATGCTGTCCACTGCATCACAGCAGCATCATTGGGTAGCCTGGATCTGCAGTTATGTTATTCTCGCCGAGGTGGTGTTAGTAAAACGATGATTATTTTAAACAACAATGTCATTTAATGATCCAATAAAGCCTCAATGAATTTCCCGCATTGGGATATTAACTCTTAACTGCAAGAGTTGGCCAGTGTCTTGGTGGTGTGCTGGCTCAAATGTTGAAACTGCTCACATTGGATCACTTAAACATACTATTATGTCCCTGTTGTTGCTGGGTATTTACCACGTGATAAAAATGCAAATAACGCCCTTTCAAGTAATGCTAGGGAAGGAATCGTTTATGACGTTCTGGTTCTAATTTTGAATGTTAATTAAATAAAAAAAATCATTCTCAGACACGACTGCCGTATGGCCTTCACCCAGGGGTGGAAAGACAGAGAGCTGAACATTATTTCTATTTTTATTCGGCAAATATAAAAGCACACGTACAGTGTTCTTGGTTCTTTCGGTAAAGTCACGTAGAAGGGAAGTAATAAAATAATAAAAATAAAACATAATAAAATACAATTCTCACGACGTTTCGGCCACAATGCAAGCAGCCGTCCTCAGGTGAAGAACAGGGCTGTCGGAAACGCAGCGTCTGAAAGTTATGACCGAAACGTCGTGAGAATTGTATTTTATTATGTTTTATTTTTATTATTTTATTATTTCCCTTCTACATGACTTTACCGAAAGAATCAAGAAGATGAATCCGAGCAGTCACGAAAGCTTTAAATCGAAATTTCACACGTACAGTGTTCATGTATAAATATGTACGACCAATAAATATCAGCATACATACATTATACACCTCTACGTATATATATGGAAAAGTATTTGTCAATTGGCATGTTGGCATTCCAGACCGGCATTACGTTGGATTGTAGCACGCTAAACTCTGGACCGGTTTTGACCTTGTGGGTCTCATCAGCAGAGTCAGGCTTGTTCATCAATAACGCGTTTTGGTTTGGGCAGACCACATAGGGTAGCCTTGCACGACAATGACAAAGGCTCCCCCTGCCTCTCTTGTCGTTAAACCACGGCTGTGACATTTATCACATGTGGTTACAATTTGCCTTGTTTACAACTGCGGTATTGTGGAGACCGAAGCATCGATATTATTAAATTCTTGTGACGCAATTTTTGCATGTTAGTAAACACTTGATAAATATTACACATTTACACGAAAGTCATGTCAATCAAATCACAACAGATGAGTAGGATGGATTATGTCACAGATGTATTCCTTGGAAAAAGATTGTTGTGTTGTTGTACGTTGAACTTCTTTCGTACCGTATGTAGCCAATTGTGCTACTCGGAGGTTCGGTGGAATGACAACAAACTAAACAAGAAAGCAGTTCGAAAGAAATGAGTTTTCAATCTCGATTTAAAAGTGAATAGCTCCAGTGGTTTCCTCATATCGGAAGGGAGAGCATTCCAGACAGCCTCAGGAGTGAATCTGAGAGCGGGTGATGCAGCGACCGCCTTTGTTCGATGGTTAGCCAAAAGCCGCTGTGAAGATGACCGGTTTCGATGTGGACCACACGATATGAATTGTTTTTTTTATTTTCATTTATACAGTTTTCTTCACCCCATTCGCTCCATTAACTTAAATGTCAGGTAAAAGTGCAGCCCTCCTTGTGATCGATTAGGCCACTGCAGGGAAGCTTCACAAAGCCCCGGCCTTCTCTTTCACGTTGGTCAAATACCTTGTAGGAGGTGGATGTAGCCACACTTTACGTGCAACCTGATGATCAACTGACTGTGCTGTACCCATTTATGCTGCTGAGTGGACATCGGCAGTGGAGAGAGGTTTACCAAACCTCCTACCCATTGTGTCAACTGCCGTGCCAGAGACTTAATGGAACCAGCGACCTCTGGATTGCAAGTCCAGTGTGTGATACCAGCATCCTATGGCAACATCCAGATTACATGTAGTATTAGTGTATCATTTGCGTGAATTCTACGGAATTGATTCTCAACCGGCATGATTCGATGCATGCATCACGAGCGTAAGAGTACATTTTTAGTGGCGACGTGGTCTAGCGGTAGCACAATCGCCGCTTGTGTCCAGAGCTCCACGGGTTCTGGCGGCCTTCCTGATTGTTACTGCGGGCATAAAAAAGCATATTAATACTCGCTCTGTGCTTGACGGTGGATGTTAAAGATCCCCTGACATCATTCGCCAGAGTAGGCCATTGAGTGTCGCCGTCAGGGTCTAAATTTGCCAAATTTCAAAACTAGCATCAAATTACTCAATTGGGTTTACACGTATAGCAGCAAACACCACCCCCTATTGGCAATCATCTTCACTAACCTGCTTCCGTTCCTCCCCTAGAACTCATCTCTTCTCCCTAGCCAATCCTACTGCTACTCCCTGCCCCCGCACCTCAGCTATGACCAGGCCTACCTCAACTCCTATCATTATAATTACATAATTGTAATGATAATCACACCAACTCCAATCACTACCCCTATTGCTACTCCAACACCTATCACTACCCCGACCCCCATCACTACCCAAACCCCTCCTTAACCACTCACACCTGTCCTCCCAACCATCACCATAACTACACCACCACTTTTAATAACAACCACACTCCTTAACTCAACCAATATCACCATTGGAACCTCATTCGCCAGTAAAAAATATGATAATTGTTTTTTTACCCTTCTATCTGGCAACAAAACTGACACCTTTTTTACAAGGAGTCATGTTTGCATAGACCAAAATACCTGTACCCCGAGCTCTCATACTCTGATGGTGCATTGTCTTTGAGTTGTGCGCCTTTTGGCGTCATCTGGTCCAACCCATGTGAGACTAGGCTTTAAGGAAAGCTGTCTCGGGTGTGGACCAATCAACTTCAAGGACAGTGCATATATTATCAGAGTTATGTTTTTTGTTTGCATTATGGCTGCAGGTATTGTGGTCTATGCAAACATGACTCCTTGTAAAAAAGGTGTCAGTTTTGTTGCCAGATGTAAGGATAAAAAAACAATTATCAACCAATATCATCTTACCTACAATTTTATCATTGTTGTAAAGCGCCTTGGTGGAATAAGGCGCTCTATAAATCTATATAAGACAAGGATAAGACTAATGCCCCAGGTCATCATCATCATCATCATGGTCCATGGGCAGATAGACCGTCGGTGTCCACTGCACATTTCGTAATTTCTTTCCACTCTCCTCTCTCCTCTGTCTTGTGCCAATATCCTCAAGGAATGCCACGTATTTCTGGCACCAATCTCTTCATGTCATCGTCAAGCCATTCTCTGTTACGTCTTCCTCTGTTTCCTATTCCTTCCATTTTTCCGAAGAACACACTTTAAATTTTCCTCTTGTCCACCCTACATACTTGTCCAAATAGTACCAGTTACCTTCTCATCACTGCCTGCATCATCAGGTCTTCTTCTGCACAACACCGGGATTAAGACTAATGCCCTACGTCGCTCTCGCAAATTGGACCGCGTCCTGGTCTCTGGAATTCTGAGCCGGTCCGACAAAGCGAACCGGATTTTAAAAAAACGATCCTTTCCGACTCGCCGCCGCCCCTGCGCAGGTGGCCCTGCGTCTGGAGGACGGGGACGCCGAATCCGGAGCGGGCACGCCGGCGAGCTGCCGCAAGGAGCGCCGCCGCACGTCGCTCACGGGCGCCGTCTCCGCCGCCGCCTCCGCCTCCTCCTCCTCCGCCGGCGCCGGCGGCGGAGAGAAGCGCGGCCTGGAGCGTCGTCGCAGCCGGCGCCACAACTCGGCGGGCAGGGGCCGCTCGCCGACGTCGCCGGTCGCCCCCTCGGCGCTCCTGCCCAGCCCGTCGAGCGCCGTGGCCGGCGACTCGGCGTTCGAGAACGGAGCGGCGCGGAGCGCGCCGCCCTCGCCCGCACTCTCCTCGCAGTCGTCGCGCAGCAGCCAGAGCACGGCCAACGGCCGGGACGACGGGGACGTCAGGTACGGCGGCGGCGGCGGCGCTCGCACGGCTCGCACGTTCGTGCTGATCGGAGGTGCGGGAGAATGTGTGCGTGTGTGTACGTTGAGCTTCTTTCACAGCATGCGTAGTCAATGGTGCTGATTTGAGGTGCCGGGGAAGGACAATTAGACCGTCAGTTGCAAGAGTTATATCGAGGCTGCGGTTTTTTGTTTGTTTTGTTTTAGAAAGATAGCCACGTGGTACTTTGGTTTGAGCGGTGGACTCAGAATTGGAAGGTTGCGAGATTAAAACACCAGTCAGGTGTGCGTGGACTACTCAGCCCATCCTCCACTGCAGAGTTGATAAATGGGTACTGCGTTGTGGGAACGCGACGGTCGTAGTCTCATGAATTGGTCGATTCCCTCTCGCCATGGGAATGTGGCATTTTTAGCACTGGCACAGGACATCCACTGGAGATAAGCATGGAGACACTTTGGCTTTATGCTTTATGAACTTCAACATATCAATTATAACTGGGACGACCCAGTGGTTTAATGAGTTTGTCGACGATGTGGGAGACAGCAAGGCTTCAGCAGATTGAATCTCACTGACTGATACCCGCTCATGTCAGACACCAACACGGAACTGTTGATGTAATTTGGTAGGAAAACATTTTGTTTGGTGTTATGGCACAGCCATTAAATGTACCCACTCATTCTGAATTTACTAAAGTCAATACATACCATCATACTTTCCCTATATTCTTGCCAGAGTAAAACGCTGTCTTGTTTTTTTTTTATGAATAGAGGATTTTTACTCTGCCAAAATGCCTGTTTAAACAATAATTGGCATACAGATGACTAATGAATGAAAATAAAAGCTGTTGCAGTTGACCAAGAAAAACGAAAGCGTTTCCAGTGCTTAGTGCATAAACAACATGTCCATCAGAAAGGGTGACAATGTTGTTTGACTCGCGTTGGAGTGTCAGGGCTTACAGCAATCAGGGGAGCGGTGGTGTAGCGATTAGTGCGCTTGCGCCAAGAACTTGGTGATTCCCGCTGACGGCCAACACCAGCGAAGATTATCTGAACCGGTCCAGGGCCTCTCTTAGGTTGACCTAGCCTTAAATTAGTACCTGGTGCGGTGTGTAAACATTGTCACTTGGGAGGCAAAGGCGGCGTGTGTTGTGCTGGCCTTCATGAGTGGTCGCTCACGGCACTTTCCCTAAGAGTCTGCTGAAGGCTATACGTGGATCTTTGCCTTTATCTTCTTTAAAGCAACAGTTTTATTTAACTAAACAAGAAAAGAACGCTATGGGACCATTCAAGTGAACTGGTGTTGGCTCACGTGGTCTGATCCGCCGCGTATGTGTGATGGTTCTCAGGCCCATTTTTACACTCGGAGTCCTCGTGTCATTTTGTGCCAAGTCAGCTCACAATAAGTGAGCTTATTCCTTAATGGCCAAATTTATTTTCTCGCGTGAGGTTTGGGGGACATTTGGAACTTGTGTTGCTTTGTTTCTCATTGCTGCGAGAGTTATGATTAATAGGTTATATGGACTTGCAAAGGGAATTATTTCGCCGCTCAGCTCGAAGTAACGCAAATTAATTCCCACCACGGAATTTTTCAGTCACAGCGGGATGCCAGGTCGTAAAACACGCTTATCTGACTCCGTCGCTAATCTTAGGAAAAGCACGGACAGCATGTACGCTGACCTAAATCTTTGGCAAATAATTCGCGACCAGTTTACTGGCGCTGGCTTGGGAATATTTAGTGGGTCTTTGGAAGTAAAATAACAAAGCCAGTGGAGTTTTAATGTAGAAAACAAGATGCGATCAGTATGTCACTTCTAATGTAACAGAAGGCTATTCTGCATCCTTTAGATTAGCCTATCTGTGTCCGTGGCTCCAGACAGAAGGTATTATTGCTCTATGCTGGTTTTTTTAGGAAATGCAAGTGGAAAACAAAAGCATGGTGCAGTCTAAACAAACTCGGGACGTTATTGCAGTTCATGAAAACTGTACGTGATGCTGGCTTTGTTTCAATAGCTCGTAGAGAATACTTGAATTATGAATCACCCCGGTAACATTTCTGGCGTAAATAAGTACCACGACATCAGATAAAAAATGGATTAAAGTGACAGTGAAACTGCCTGCGCCACTTTCCATGCTATATTTCTAAGTATGAAAAACCGGAGTAACTTCCAAGGTTGGAATTCAAATGGATGAGTCGTGCGCACGGTGTGTGAATTGTGGCCGAATTTTGCGCTTAATCTCAAAGCAAGGCGACCGCGAGTCTGGAATAACCAAAACGTCCGAATAAGAGGCGGTTTGTGACGTGTCCAAATTCTGCAAATAAAACGTGCAAAGTGTGTCTTTGCTAGGAATTATATCAAACACATGTAAGGTAGCCACTTTGAACAGAACAAAAATTGGGTTATTTTTTTTGTTCCATGCTAGATATTACAGATGTGAAAATATATTTCCACACTCCGTGGATTAGAAGACACTCCCGAGAGTAACATGCACCCCATAATAGTAGCCGGTGTCAAGAAAGTTACGCAAAACAGTCATACACATACACGTGTGCGCCTACGGGTTATATGACCCCCTCCCCCTAGGATGCTGTGACTTATGTTACAGAGAGTACGGTAGTAGATATTTGTAGGAAAAAATGACCATATGATAGACTTGAGATTTAAAAAAATATATATTTGCATTGCATTTTGGCACAACAATAGGAATCTTTTTTTTTCTCTCAGTGATTATTGTAGCACAGGTCCCTTTGCAAAATCCACATCTCTCATTTCCTTTGCATGCATTTTCATTTCATTTAATCTGCACATTGCAGGGTAGGTGGGAATATTTTATTTAAAGCATATGCCTCTGAGGCCCAAAGAATGACTAAGAAAACCTCAAACTTAACTCGGTACGAGGGCTTTCGTGCCGATCAGTGGGATGAAGGATTGAGGATTTTCCAGGAACCTCATCCAGACTTAACCACACGTCTGCCGGCAACTCATGTGGCAGACACAAAAGTTCCGAGGTTGCTAAAGTGGTTGGTTATTTTTCATCTTCCGCGCAATAGGTAGGTGACTATCGGCATCCCGGTAATGGCGAATGCCTCTCGTGTCTCATGGAAACATGGTACTGCTCTCATGTGAAAAATAATGGGGCTTGTGGTGTGCTTCATATATGCTATGTCTAAAACCGCATTGTGGTTGTGTAGTTCTAATGAGCACAGCTGCCAACTTAATGAATAATACCGAATAATAAATAATATAAACTTCAAATGAAACAGCCTATGACTCACGCCAGATTACAAAGGTTTACATATTCGCTAAGGCCACATTGGAAATCAGATTTTTTTTTTTTACTCCAACTGTGCTGTTGTGGCAAAGAAGGCATGAGCTTTGTGAATCGAATAATATATTTTATATTTTTCCCCATGCAGCATTGAATATGACCTTCACAAGATCGGACCTTTTAACCAAATGTATTCTGGCCACTCAAGTCGTGTGCGCATTGATGTGAATTTTTTTTAATGCTCGGTTACTTCAATGCGATGGGATCTGTTCGCAAATGTCAAAAACGTCAATGTGGAACACGCGACGCCACGATCCAGCCGTGCCGTTTAGCAACTCAAGTGTCCACTCAAGAAGGGCCCGACGCCAGAATATTTCCTGGGAGCTGTCAGGGGCAGGATACGAGCAGGCGGCACCGAGAGGGGCCTTGTCTGTGGGCCAAAGCGTGGTATCTATCTGGTCCTCCCACCAGCACTCAGGCTGCGCTCGGAACGTGACGTCACACGGCACTCAAGTCCGTCTTGTCCTGCATCACGAGCTGCGGCGCAGGCAGCAGGATTTTCCCGGTCTGGCCATGAACAAGTTTAACATCAAATGAGAATCTTTTTTTTTGTATGGACCATAAAGTGGACTCATTGATGTTCACTGACTTGTTTAATTTTTGTTTGAAAGTTTAAGCTAAATTACGGCAATTGTGAGGCCACGTTGCTTCAAAAAGAGAAGCGATATTGGCCATGTGTTTTTAAGGCTAGCATTTATTTGTTCTTTTCCAGGATGATGGCAATTCTTTTGTGAGGCGTAGATTTGGGATTCGTATCCATCTATTGGACAGCAGTTCCCTCCAACAGAAACCTATCGGAGTTCTAAACACATTTAATCAAAACATGATCTTACATTTCATCACTTCAAACACTTTTCGTGCATTAAACATTCATTTTATGTTTAATTATGAAGTATCCTCGAATGATGATATATACATTTGTGTAGCTTTGTTGATGTCATTTTGATTATGTATTACTCTGATGTCTCTTTATGAGATTCTAACTCGAAACTTTGGGTACCCAAAGCTTTCGTCTATACCATTATGCTTTCATTGTTAGGTCAGCGTGCTTCATTATAGTTTCCAGAGCGCACTTTCCATTAGATCAGCCAGTAATTCCTATTCTTCATGTCACTCAATAATCTCCCCAAAGAGTTCCAAACCATCAGTTATACCACAGCAATTTAGGGATAGTGTTCTATGGTGGACTGATGATAACAGGTTTGTCTATTATAGTAAATGGTTCTGCAGTCTAGGAGGAAAGTGCAATTTGTTTACAATTGAATGTGATTTTTTTTTTTATGAAACGATACTAACCGAAGATTGAATGCAATTTTTTAATGAAATGACCCTAGTCACGTTTCAAAAAATAATAATAATTCTTCCTCAAATTATTGCCGCTGAATATTCGTGAACTTGCCCGTGCCTTATTTTTTTTGAGGTAATCATCCTTGAGCATGAAAATAGTATGTTTGCTTTCTTCAAAGTGCATTCATATAACAGGATTTTAAGAGCTATTTATATATTTTGGCATGTGTTGAAGTTTATAAAAAGTGTAATTTTTTGTTCAATTGGACAAACATAACATTAATTAAGTAACTCAAATTAGTGAAATAAGCAAATGTTTTACATACATGTGTGGTTCAATAAGGATCTCATAAGTATAAAAAAAACAACTAACGAAAATCACACAACATACAATCTGTTGCCAAATGTGGGTATAATGCAGCCCATTTGGTCAAGTACATTTTAATATTGTGATACAAATTTTTCCGAAAACCCGCCAAGCTTAAGGAAAGTTGGCTGGTGATCTGGTGCGGTAATTTTTCGCAAAAAAGAGGCCACATTTTCTCGTGCCGGTGTGCTGTGTTGGGTTTGGCAACGATCATCGACCGATGTTGGGAGAACTCCAGGCCACCAGGGTACAGGATACACATTCAGCCTATTTCGCCGGGAGTTTGGTACAATTAAACTGTAAAAACTATAAAAATACACATGAATGTTTGAAAAACACCACGTTATATCTGACTTTATGACTGCGCGTAGGAAACAAAATGCTTGTGGAGGAATGACCGTGCCATTAAATTGTAAACCCTGCATTTTATAAGGTTGCCAGTTTGATATCCTGACCCTATAGAAACTTCTATAAAATGGACGTTATACTTCCCAGCAAAGCATGGTCGAGGGTCCGTCATTAAATGCCAGAATACCATGGAAATACATTTACAAAATAAATTGACAACCAACACTTCATTGTTAATCTTGACTCTATCCCAATGTACGCCTTAGGCTTCAACAGTTTGATAGGATGAGTGGATTAATTTACCGTTGCATTGTAGCTGGCTTTCATTCACCTTAGCCCCAGAGGTTACATGTGCCAGAAACACGAATGCACATAAAACTCTCGGTAAAGAATGTCTTTATTGAATTATTTTACAAAGGAATTCACTCTTTTGTTGCGATGTTACATTCCAAAACAATCATTTTGCAATAAGTCTACGGTACAAAGAACACAGATGTCAAACTTGATAAATCAAGTTTATCAACAGGCAACTGTGCCAGCATTCATAGCAATCTCAATGTCATTCTGCATCTTAGTTGTTCTCATAGGCATTCATCATTACACATAATACATTGTTGTTTCTGTTGCACTTTTTCACTTGTGCATGCAAATCTCTTCATTCCACCCTAACTTTCCTGACTGTTGTTTCCTGTCGCCTTGTTTTCATTTCATCAGTTTTATTTCTTCTCTCCCTCCTGTTTTTTTCTTCTTCTTCTGTTGGATCTCTGTTGTCTGTGTCTCCTGATTTCCCATTGCCACCCGCCCATCCCCCCATTGCCAAACGTGTCCAATCGTTCGGGCCTCAAAATCGCGCAGAGAGGGTCGGGATGAGGAAGAGCCAATCACAGAACCTGATACTGATGATGAATGTGGTGCTGGTGCTGAGCCGACCAATGAGAGGTAGCAGAGTCTGTGCACAGGGAGGAGTGTGATTGCACCTCAACATGGCATGCGTTATTTCACGCGAGGCTGTCAGTAGGGCTGTGCATTTGGATGCCCTTTGGATTTCTACCCAAATATTTTGGCTACACTCTTAACGGCGCACTCTTAAAACACTAGTGATTTGCAAAAGAAAAAAAAGAAAATACATTTAAAACAAAACTCTTAATTGTCACGTAATTACAAAAATATGAGCAGGCAATTAATCCTGGGTTTAAGTAATTTCTATTGGCTACTAAAGTGTTGTTTTATTATGCTGGTTGTTTCATGAAACAAGTAACATTGATATTATTGTAATAATCTGTTTAGCTTTTTTAATGGCACTGTTTTCACAAAAAAACAACTAACATCCTACATGAGGAAATACTAATGTTTAACTTTATTAACCATGAACACTTTTTAAAATATATTTTTTGTATCTTTTTATTACTTTTTTGGAATGTAATTTCATTTTTATGATTGTATATGTTCACGGTTTAACACTTTATGCTATTCATTTACAATAACAAAATATTTGGGGATCGATCGTATGAAAACATTGAAATATTTGGACATTTTACAAGCAGGCGATATGAATCCCAAAAAAATGTTAAATAATATTTTTTTCCAGAAGAAAAATTTCGACTCGACCTAACAAAAAAAGTTTCATGTCACCATGAACTCCCTGCAAAATATCCAAATAATTAAAGCAATGCTTTCCTGTACTGAATTTCAATGCATTATCCTCTGCCTCATTTCGCTATTTGTGTCTTGCCAAGAATTCTAACATGAACCTTTTTTTCCCCTTTTTTCCCAATTATTTTTTTTTTAACTAAAGTCTTGCGGTTTGCTCTGAGACGAATGACCGCTGCTTCCAAGCGGACGCTAAATCATCCCCTGGCTCTGCTCTGGCCAAGTCGCTGCCCCTCGTGCAAAATGCCTCCTCCTCCTCCTGCATGCCCGCTCCGGCGCAGCGCCTCCCGGTGTCGCCATCTCCGTTACCGCCTTCCTCTACGCCGCCTTCTCCATCGCCGCCGCCGGCGGCCGCGTTGCCGGCGCCCGCAGCGACGCTCCGGTCGCGGGCCGCGACCCCGGCACGCCACGCTGCTAACGTCTCGCCTGCCGCCCTGCCCGTTAGGCTGCCGTACGTGCCCAAGTCTCCCTTCCACCTCTTCAGCTATGAGCCCATGGACAAGCCGGCCTCCATGCGCGAGCGTCAGGACGAGGCAGCAGCTGCGGCGACGGCGGCAGGGACTCCGGCGGCGGCCAGGTAAAAGGGTGAGGGGCAGCCGCTACAGTGGCAGCGGTGTGGAGGCCAACAGGAATGCGGTTTTTGACGAATACGATTATTACAAAATTTGTTCATGCATGGGCCGCTGATTCGGCATGTAACGATCCGACAATTAAACTCGATTCGTTCGTTTGTGTTACTTGTGTAACATCGTGGATAGGATATTCAATTTTTTTGTAATGGATTCGCATGATTACTGCAGCCACTAGAGGTGCTATATTGACCGCAGTGTTAAAACATGATTAGTGAACCATGACCCCGAATTGTGGTAATTCACTAAGTTGCTCGGTAATTGATTATTTACATGGCTACTTTTTTATACACGGATGTCACCAATGTTCCTTCTAAAATGTAGCAAATGATTTGGTGATGCTGCGTTGGCTGTGGTGAAAAAGCACAATTTCACTTTATACCATCAGCCATTGCTTGAAGTGTCACCTATTTCATATTTTTTTTCCTTTTGAAGCATTATTATTGACGAAAGTGTTGAATTTTCTTTACTAAAATATACACCACTTCATTAATACAACGTTTTATGTTTTCTTTCAAAGTTCTTTGTTGGGAAATTTAAAAAAGTGTGTAATTCTATGGATTGAATGGGGAATCTCCAACTTTGGCTCAGAGCTAGGAAGGGAGATGAGTGTGCTAACTCCATTATTTGTTTGAGCACGGAGATGCTTGGACATGATTGTAGATTATTATTTAAATGCAAAACATGTATTCAAAGGAATTAACCAAATATCCCCACGCATCAGTCTCCAGGAGACAAAGTGATGGAAGCTTGAATGAGGCATTTACGTGTTTTTTTACTTCGATATTAACAAAGGATAGTTGCCAAGTATCTACTAAATTATAATAATGTGATATATCTCAATGTGTCAGTGTCGGATTGGCTCAGATGGTGACATAAGGAATTAGAAGAATGGTTAAATGGGTGATAATGATGCATTCACATATTAAGATTATATTTTATACTTGGTATTGGATGTCATTTGTATTTTACGAGAATGTATTTTTATTCCATAATCTTTGGTCCTTTCGGTAAAGTCACGTAGGAATAAAAAATAAAATACAAATAAATCACGACGTGCCTCAGCAGCAGACCATGCTTTGCCACCTGATGACAGAGGCTTGTGTTGCGCCAGAAGCGTCGTGATTTATTTTAATTTTATTATATACCTACGTGACCTTACCAAAAGAACCAAAGAGTATGGATTCCTGCAGTCACGGAAGCTTCAAATCAGATATGTTTTATTCCCTTTCAAATAACATCTCAAGAGGTTCAGCTTTCCAGCCTTTTTCACCAGATTTGCAAACCGCGTATTTTTTAGTGTAAATGTTGCCTTTGTTGTTTGTAGTAATGCACTCACGAATCCCTGGTAGTTATTCTGGTGCTTTTCATTATGGAGGACGATTGTTAAGTTTTGTTGTTACACTTAAGTTGTATTGTTCTGCTTGTTATGCTGAAGAATTGCCATGCTGTTAAAAATTGGCAGAATGTTAATGTGCGGGAAATTATTTATTGATAATATCAATACTGGTTTAAACCTAATTTGCAACGTGTTTTTTTAAGTTAGATTTTAAAAGATGGCATTTTTATCCTCAAATAAATAACCAAAAAGATCGGCACCCGTGGCATGAAATTCAGGATCTCAAAACAGTCGTGACTAACTTGTACTTTCCCCCTATAATATTGGCACCTTGGAATCTTTCTTTGAACATATTTTTCCACTCATTGTGCAGTTGTGACCCTTTAAAAAAACAAAACGTTTTTTTAGGCAGTTTCATGCCTAAAACAAATATATCACGCGCAATACCAACTAAATTATGGCATTTTCTAAATTCATCTGTTTCGTGTACACATTTGCTTTCAACATTTTCTGAGCCAAGACAATGGCCACCAAACTGATGTCCTCGGAAAGCTCCTCAACCTTTTGACCTTCGTTTGGCCTTTTTGCCTCTGACTTGCATGCAAGCTACGCAAACTATTATGCGTTTGTCTTTTCCTTTGGCACTTTCCTCCTTTAGCTCCGCGGCCTCTGAGAGCGGCTCACGACTCTTGGAGCCATCACATGATTCTTTCGCTTCCAAACCTCTTCGCTTCGCAGCTAGTTTCACGTTCACTCCCAACCGGTAAAGCCTTCCACGTGCTTGCCGGCCCTCATAAAACAGCATGCACTTGCATGCACATAAAATCAAAGGTGGATTTGATTTTCGTAATCTGAGGACATTTAGGGAGTGATTTTAGGTCAATGGTATGACTACAATTGATAGAACTGAGCTAACTCCTTTGAGATGCTGGTTTCCTATTGCAGGGTTGCTGGTGTTATATTCCCATTTACCAGCGACTTGCACAACAAATGCATGCCAAACGAGTGGTTGCTTTTGATGTAGCTCTCACGAGACTCAAAGGAGCACGATGTGCAATGGAAATAAAGTGAAGCAATATTTTCCTAAACTAAAACAAACATATTCTGTTCTCGGCAATGTACGTAATTTATCTATTGGCAGGTAACATGTGGCGGGGTACAGAGTGGGTATTCCCACCTCTGCCAAGATGTTTGGTCAGCATGGAGGAGTAGGCCAAATTCCTTCTAGAGGGGCCTCTATACAGCTCCCTCTAGTGGAGGTGCGTCCACCGGCCGTGGCGTGGACAAACAATGGCAAGACTGTGCCTTTACCTTTAATAATAATAATAGTTCAATTTGTAACGCGCGCAAATTTGCAGACGTAGTGGCCGCAACTCAGAGGCGCGGAGCCAAGCTCAGAGTCGCTCAAAAGCATGATTGTAGAGGTGAGTTTTTAAGTGTCTCTAAAGATAACTAACGGAGAGTTAATTGGACGTGACGTTTGGGAGAGGTCCCGTAGTATCTCGTTGTAGTCCTGTTCCCTGGCAGCGTAACGTGCTCTCCCTGAGGAGGGGGATTCGCTTTATAAAATAAGTTCTGCAAACTCATGCTGATAACACATTGGCCAAACAACAAAAATATAGTTATTATTAATAATAATAAGCGTTTCCGCGTTCATCTGTCCAACAAGCCAACGTTGGTTGGGCATATTGCCGATGACACGTGTGTCTAATTTAATCAACGCAGGATGTGTGCGAAACTTATTTGATTGAATGTGGCTCACAGTATTGTGCCTGGCATCGGGTTCGTGCATGGCTCTGCTTCGCTCACCGTGCAGATGACCCCTGAAGGTCACGCTTAGCTTTGGCTGCTCATCTGTCCTTTCGGTACAACCGCATGCTTATTACACAGAGATTAAACGAGCGTTTCTCTCTTCGCTATTTTAATGAAATGTGTAATCGTTTTTAAATGTGGTTCTTTCAAGAACTTAAAAAAAAAACGTCTCCGCATCGGTAAATACTCTAATATGTATCATCTATATGCATATTACCGTATTGACTAAATCAAATTTGGAAATTATAAGAAAACTGATCACAACAAAAACATTAATGCAGGTTGGAAACGCATAGATGTCACGACACACAAAGGTGTGCATTGCATGCACAAAGGCCCTCGGCCCTTAGCCAGACAGATGATCAGCTCAGTTCTCTTAGAGCTGGTGTTTTGTGTTGTTGTTGTTGTTAAATCTATTCATATAGAAGTTACGTGAATAATACCCTTACTCAGTAAACAATTTTACGTTGAATTATTTTAAGTCAAGCACATTCAAACATTGTAACAAATTGTCCATCGTTGAACCATATAGATTAAGAACCCTACAGATTTTGTATGAATTTCAGCTTGCTTTAAGATCTCCTGGCACTTTTCTTTAAAGGTCGTCACCGCGTGTGGTTTGTACAGCCTGCCATTGTGTGTGTGTGTTTTCAACAAGAATGTCTTGACTTGGGTGGTCACCCGTTTCAGAGCTCCGTGAACAACAAGTGGCTCTGTGATCGCTCTGTTTTGTCTTGCGTGCGGGCACACTTGCACTGCGCTTGTGCCAACAGGTATTCCGCGGGGGTCAACTACAACGGCAACGTCTACGGCACGCCGGGTGCTCGCTCTTACGGGAGCCCTTCTTCCCCGGCCAGCCAGGCAGCCGGCAGCCCATACAGCCAGAATCACAGCAGTGAGGCGGCAGACGGCAAGAATAGCAACAAAGCCATGGACAGGTAAACTCATTACATGCGGATTTCGTCTTTGTCACACTACGAACAATAATATTGATAGGAAAACGAAGATAAGTAATACCTTCACAGCCAGTGTTTATTTAAGAACCGTGGCTCTCTGCAAGTCGTGTGAGACCATGTTTATGATTCTTAGGGTTCATTTGTAAATGCCAAAGGCTCCAATAGCCAAACTAAAGCGCCCAGTTAAAGACACTTAAGAGTGGGAGAATCATCCCCTATTTGTGCTTTGAAAAGGAGCAGTGATGCATTGTACAAGTCGGATAACTAAAGTATAACTAGAACCCGAGACAATGAGTCGATTAAGCAACTCAATCAACTAAACATTATAATCAATTCACACCATTGGAACCTCATTTGGCAGTAAAAAATATGATAATTGTTTTTTTACCCTTCTATCTGGCAACAAAACTGACACCGTTTTTACAAGGAGTCATGTTTGCATAGACCACAATACCTGCAGTCATAATGCAAACAAAAAACATAACTCTGATAATGTGCACTGTCCTTGAAGTTGATTGGTCCACACCCGAGACAGCTTTCCTTAGAGCCTAGTCTCATACGCCAAAAGGTGTCATCTGGTCCAACCCATGTGAGACTAGGCTCTAAGGAAAGCTGTCTCGGGTGTGGACCAATCAACTTCAAGGACAGTGCACATTATCAGAGTTATGTTTTTGTTTGCATTATGACTGCAGGTAATGTGGTCTATGCAAACATGACTCCTTGTAAAAAAGGTGTCAGTTTTGTTGCCAGATAGAAGGGTTAAAAAACAATTATCGTAATCAATTCCTTATTTTCCCATTAAAAATAGCAGCCGCCCTAACATTCTGCCTCCTGAAGGCAGCAAACCTCCCTTCAAGCCACAGCCAGTGTGACTCATCTGACTACGCTGATGACATCAGCAATCCCCACCCTTCACCTCCCGTCCAGCGGCACACGTGGAACACAGAAGGCGAGAAATTCCACCGTCCCCTCCCCCCGACTATTTTCGTGTTGTTCGATTAGTTGCCATCAAACCGACGATCGCTTAGAGCGATTGGATCACTGAAATAAGCAGACGACGCCAGCTGTAAACACAACCTCTCCAAATGAAGAGGAACAGGCCGTGCGGGTGACAGCGGCGAGCGGCACCGCGGACGAAAGCGCGGTCGGTCTAAGGGCGCCATGAATTCCCTGCAGTGCCAGGGCTGCAGCTGGGCTGCTCTCGTCCTCGTACAAGCAGCACCAGGAGTCCCTGGCGGCCGAGCGCGAGCGACGCCGGCGCGAGAGGGACGAGCGGCTGCAGCGCATCGAGCGCGAGGAGCGCAACAAATACAAGTGAGTGGAGCGGCGGGCGAGCGCCCCGCTCACGGATAGTCCGTGAGCCCGGGCCAGATCATTCCCAATGTAACAACAAATACACCTCAATGTGACACCCCGATACAAGGTGCCGATCGCCAAACGAACTGGGGTGGGGGCGGAGGGTTAACAGAAATTCCACAAGCAGCGGCACGAGGTCGACGCGACAGCGCCTGGCCAAGGTGGGAAACTGGGCTAACTGCTCCACCCAGCTGGGGACAAGGTGGTGGGGATATGGAGGTTTAATCTTAAGTTTGGAGCTTTCGTGACTGCAGGAATTATTCTTTGGTTCTTTCGGTAAAATCACGTATAAAGATAAAATAATAAATTAAGTCGTATAAAGATAAAATAATAAATTAAGTCGTATGCTATTTCTTTATTTATTATTTTATCTTTATACGTGACTTTACCGAAAGAACCAAATAATATGGAGGTTTAAATGGGGAGGGGGAAAAGGTAAGGGGTAGACTCTAAAACTATTGTAAACTAAACTAAACTTTCTAGATTTGAAGCTTTTGTGACTGCAAGGATTCATACTCGTAGTTTTTTCGGTAAAGTCACGTAGGTAAAAAATTAAATTAAAATTAATCACTTGATACAGCAAATCTGGCTGTGACGGTCCCACCTGATGACGGAGACTTGTGTTGCCTCCGAAACGTCGTGATTTTTATTATTTTATTTTATTAATTTTTATTTCATTTTTTACCTACGTGACTTTACCGAAAAAACTAAGAGTATGAACTAAACTTTGTTTAAAATGTTACCAGGTGAGGCCTACTGAGCTACGTAGCTCTTTTTAAGAAGCGACCTGGCCACAAACGACAGCACGATGAAGTGGCTTATCATGTGGAAATGTACAGCAGCCAAATACTCTAAACACATGATTCTAAATGTGGAGGGGACAACCCGGAGGACCCAGAGAAAAATCCACGCTACCACGGGGAGAACATGCAAACTCCAAATATACAGCAGGTGTCAGGGTCGAGATCGAATCCACGACCTCCTGCGTACCAGGCGAGGCAGTTAACATCTTGCCAGCGTGAGAGCTGCACCTTTGATCTGGCCAGTGCGGAAGAGTAGGCCAAATAACCTCTAGTGGGGACTCTTCCTCCTGCAGCGGCATGAGCAAGTAATTGCAGGGATGCACATTTATCTTTTTGAAATGCAGAGCCTGCAATAGCAACATTGGATACGTATTTGGTTGTTAGTTGATCTCTTCGCATGCTACAGACCGCCCGTGTAGGGAAACGCTTTCGGATTCTGAAGGAGTAAAATGATGTAGGATTTGCAGGATTCATTTTCCATCATTACATTTCACCGCAATGCCTTTTGGTGCTTCCACAGTATCGCTTTCCTGTGCAACGTTACACTTTCATCCGCTTAACATCTGCTCGTGTTTCGATTTAAAGCTTTCCTGACTGCAGGGATTCATCTTCTTGGTTCTTTCGGTAAAGTCACGTAGAATGGAAATAATAAAATAATAAAAATAAAACATAATAAAATAATATATGTTTTATTTCTATTATTTTATTATTTCCATTCTACGTGACTTTACCGAAAGAACCAAGAACATCTGCACGTGTCTTAATTTTTTCCCCCTTTCCAATATTTTCAAATCTTTTATTTTTTTAAATGTCACGTCGATAAGCAACGGGTTTATCTTCCGTGACCCTTTAAAGCTGTCTGCATCTTTGCTCTCCTGCCTATAGTAGTCGCGAGTACATGGAGGAGAGGGAGAGGCTGAGGAGAGAGAAAGAAGAGAGGTATTGGTGTGCCTGCATGTGCTTCCCGCAGTGTTTTCTCAAAACGCTCATTTGCCTGCGTGTAAATAACATTTGACGTAACGGAGGAAACCGCAATTAAGCACACAAAGTCATTATCTCCGGTCTAAAACCAGCGGTCATCAGTCCTCATTTCTCTTGGAACGTCTCGGGTAAGTGGTGGAAATGTTACATTGCTGTGTCACGGACGGGTCTTTACACAGCACGTATGCTTTTCATTTCAAAGTCAGTGGTGTGTAATCCTATGGTACTTGTTTTACATTACTCTGGAAGTATGATGGGTGTGTTGACCTTGGGTGGGATTTGAACTATGTACTCGAATAGGAGCGCGACCGCTGTACCATCTAAGCTAAACAAGTTAAAGCCAAGCTTAATTAGTCGTTAACTTTTACCCACTATCGTATAAAAAATTCCAACAGTTCGTCGTTGCTCACAAACATGAATTGTATAATTTTTATTTATTTGTTCATTTTTATTTCGCCCAAACTGTAAATTAAAAAATGCATTATCATGCCTGCGAGCGTCGAGCACAACAAATCAGACCCATGGAATCCATCCCCATCCCTTTGCCTCTGCCGTTTTGCAAATCCCCAGTTTAATTAAGTCTGGGGCTATGATTGCACCCTTGCGTCGCTGTTCCCAAGGCCAGCCCTGTGCTGGCATTTCCGCGCCGTCTCCGACGTCTCGTGCCGCTAGGGACCCCCCCCCCCCCGCCGCCCCTCCTACCCAACAAATTGTTTCCTGTATTAGTGCAGCGTGCGCTCCCTCATGCCTCAGTCTGTAGAACGCCCATTGCAGCTCGCCGGGCAGCGTGCGGCTTTCTCACGGAGATCCACTCGTCGTGCGATGCCCTGGTTGGCGGCCAAGAATAGAGAGAGAAAAGACATTGCGTCGTTGCGTGTGTCTGTTTGCGTGCGCCTGTGTTGGTCTGCAAATGGTGAGCGCTGGTGCCGGCGGTTGGCGCACCGCGCTACGAAACCGGCGACTTGAGCTTGATTCCCGCTCGCTACCAACAAGAGCGGCGAATTTTTGAACTGGTCCTGGGCATCCTCTCGGTTGACTCAGCCTTACATTAGTAGCTGGTGTGGTGTGTAAACATCAACACTGGGGAGACAAAGGTGGCCAGGGATGGTGCTGGCCACCCACAACCTCTTGTGTCGTGCCGGCCTTAATAGGTGCTCGCTAATAGCACTTTCCCCAACAGTCTGTTAAAGACTATATGGGGAATATTTGTTTTCGTCCTCCGCTTTTTCGTCGTGCAAATGAGGCCTCTTACAGATGCAGAGGGTTAAACTAATTTATGTATAGGGCAATAACCATAGGTAGTGTTTGTTGGCTTTTCCAGAATGTTTGCAACGCATTCACCTTTCTACAAATAATTATGTTTTAGTTGCGCCGTGCAAATATTTATTTTAAGGTTTGCAAACTTATCTGGCAAGCAAGCGTGTTATTAACGATGGTTTTCACGAGCGTATGAGTGTGCATGCATGAATACAAGTGTGTGTGTGCGCATTTTAAATTGGTCCTCAGCAATACCGTCTGTAAAATAATAATCTTAATGAAATAATACATCTCGAGAAAACATTAGTGAGAATAACACGTGAGGTTTGAAACTTTTAACAAAACCAAAACGTCAGCCTTCAGCCGAACAAAGAAATGGTAAATGATCGTCGACGCCTTTCCCTTCCTTTCCAAGGAACCGCTACCTGGAGAGAATTGCAGCCGAGGAGCGAGAGAAGGAGCTGCGTAACAGAACCAAAGTCAGGATGGAGCTCAACCTCACTTTGCAATCACCCTCAACCAACGCTAGCCCCGTGACCCTCGTATCACAGCCTCCAGGGACACCATCAGCCTGTCCCTCTCCGACACCCGTCCGTTCAGCTGAGTCACCCCGCCTGCTATCGTACTCCCCATCGCCGACTCGTTCACAATCACCAGCCCTTGCACCGTCACCCGCGCCATCACCTGCTCCATCACCTGCCCCATCACCCGCCCCATCACCCGCCCCATCACCCGCCCCATCGCTCGCCCCGTCGCTCGCCCCATCGCCGTCGCCTGCGACGTGTTCATCTCCCGCGCCACTAGCGTCGCCCGCGCGCTTCGCTTCACCAGCGCCGTCACCGTCAACCTCTCGGCCTGCGACGCCCGCCGGCATTCCTGCGCCACCCCCCCCTGCTCGTGTCCCGAGCACCCCCAGCTCGTCGCTGCGGCTCGCAGACGCCAGGGAGACTCCAGAGGAAGCGGCAGAGGAGACTGCAGAAGAGCGTGAGTGTTTGTGTTGGACCACACGAGGGATGTTGCCCAAGGAAAGGAATTATTATTGCTTAATGGGAGGCGGTCCAAACTCCGTGAGCCGCTAGCCTGAACTTTGAGGCCCACAGACTTCGATAATAAGAAATCTCGGAATTCTGACAAGGATTATATATATAAAATATTATTATCAAGTGTGGGAGATGAATGATGCTGCCTTTTAGTGTTCCAAGATAAACATGTTCCTTTGAGTTCACTTTAAACATTTCTGCAGCATCAACATCCTAGTGAAGTGTCACATTTAAGGAGGCTGGGATTAAAGTTCTCTAAGGATATAATCATTTAAAAAAAGTAAAATTGGCTAAAGGGGTTTAAAGCTTAGTAATATGACCGGCACAGCATGCATGGGGTTGCCTTCACCCTGCAGTGGATTGACAATATGAACTATTATGTTGTTATTATTATTAATAGCTTAGATGAGTGCGTGTCTGAAACTCATTTAACCGGGGTCGATGTTTGGCAATGCTTAACACCAGTGGCAAGTTGGTATATTGAGCATCCGCTATGTTAACTCGACCTTAAAGGAGTATCAAGTGTGATTTGTTAATGTGGAAGATTGGGGAGACAAAGACGGTCGGGTGTGCTGCTGGACACAGCACCGCCTCAGTCGGTGCTCGCGAACGGCATTCGCTCTAAAATACCGCACCGTGACACTTGGGCTGTTTATATTTGCGTGTAAAATGAAGCAACCGAACAGGTCGCGTGACTTGCGGTTGCACTCAATTGCACCATGTCCACAGCTTGGTCTCGTGTCACTCAGGTATCACGGTCACCTCCGAGGGTCTTTCTCCAGTGACCACCAAAGGGTAACTCTTCCTTAGGGCCAGAGGTCGCAAACGGGTTTTGATTCCTTACCCGTACCCGGCCGGGTACGGGTACCCGTTCCCTACCCATACCCTACTCGAAATGAGTGACAAACGGTTACTCACCAGTGACTCACGGCCTACCCGTACCCGTACCCAGCCGTACCAGGGTCGCAAACGGCTACCCGTACCCGGCCGGGTACGGGTAGCCGGGTATCGGGTAGGGTACGGGTATCAGGTACCCGGTTGCGACCTCTGCTTAGGGCTCACAAAGAACACTCTTCTGAGTCACAACGCAGATGCCGCGTTGCCACCGGAAATAACCCCGGCTGGGTTAATGGACCAGGCAACTGGGTCTGGCCCGGGTTCCCATGACGGCCTTTGCCTCGACAACACAACTCTTGCGCTTTTCTCTTCTTGCGTGGCTTTATTCAACGCGTGTCTCACTTTCACTCAGGTCAACCCCTGAGAAACAGTCGTGGCATCGCGAGGTTAGCTTTGGGGGAGAGACAGAATCAGAGTGAGGATATTTATTTATTCTGGAGGAAATCGATGAGCTATAAAGCTCTTTTTCACAGTAGGGGGCGGGTCTGAACGTTACAACAACAATACAAAAACACAATAGGGGTGGAAAGTACAAGGTAAAGAAATCACCCAAACACGTACAAATTAAACTAAACCATCACCATCCTACCAGCCAAAGCCCACTGAAGTATTAACTTATTTTTCAGAAGCAACCTGGCGAATTGCCCGATGATGCTGGATGCAATCACCAGAGAAACGTCGTACTCAAAAATTGTAAATGTTGTGGTTTCACGCTTCAACACACCGGTGGGCTAAAGCAGTGAACTATTTGTCTTTTGTCAACGTGACACTTTTTTACTGATTGGCCGTGTCGGGTGGTGGAGGGTTACGACACATTTATAAATAACGCGATCTAAACCCAAAAACGTTGATTATGAAGAAGCAACCTGGCCACAAATGATAGCGCACCAACGTGGCTTATCATGCAGACATTTATGTTAGCAAAATAATCTCAATCATCTCAGGCAATGGTGCCCACAGCACCACAGTTCAACTTCAAGGCCACGCTGGAACAACACAAAATTGTTTCCCGGGCCCGATGAAACTCCCTCGCCAGCGGCGGTGAACATTGCAGCGTTTGTCTCCTCTGTTGTAGCTGCGGCGGAGGAGGTGGCTCCCCTGAGCGCGAAGGAGCGGGAGAATGAGGCCGTGAACGAGAAGGAAAACTGCTCGGCCTCCAGTAGTTCATCAGCCAGCAGCACCCTTGAACGCGATCGCGCTGATGAGGAGCCAGGTGCGTGTTTTGCCGACCGTTGAAGCGTTTTTAGTTTTTTTCACCACGCGATCATTTATTTCCTTTCCTTCGTTGAGACTCAAAAAGAGGGCAAGCTTCCGTGACCTTCAAGATAATTTTACATGCAGAGATTCCGTGAACCTTCTTCGTGAGAACTTTTCATTTCGGGGGAAAGCTCGGGTACCTGGAGAAAACCCACAAATATGAAGGAAAAACACTCAAGCTTGAAACGGCGAGGTCGCAAACTTACTCGATGAACTACCGTCTGCAGGTTGAGGTACAATCTTGATTTGAAGCTTTCGTGACTGCAGGAATCCATACTCTTTGGTTCTTTCGGTAAAGTCACGTAGGTATAAAAATAATAGATCACGACGTTTCGATCGCAACACAAGCAGCCGTCTTCAGGTGGGACAACTACACAGCCAACTGTGAATGTGTGGATTAAAATTACCACAGCTGATCGCAATTGTCCTTTGCTGTGGCAAAATGTAACTTGTAGTTGAAAGCAATCTCTCTTGGCCGTGATGCTACGTGGTGAAACCTGGTACACGGATATTTTCATTTAAATCTTAGCGTGGGCCAGCGGCACCATCTACAATTCCAGGAATAATGCTTGGACCACGTCTGGAATAGCGCTCATGTCCCATACATCTCGGCATTAACTCAAAGGAGGTTTGTTGAAAGAACTGCTACAAGGGGCTGTATTTCTCTCCGAGGAAAGTTCTATCAAACAAGCAACCCAACCACCTTTTCATCTGCTCTACCCCCCCCCCCCCCCACCGATTTTCGTGTGCATCCACACCTGGGGAAGGCTGGCCATTGGATTTATGTCGGGATTCCCAAGAGAGCGTCGAGACAGAAGCGGGGGGGGGGGGGGGGGGGAGAATAACGGCCGCCGCTCCATGACGAACGTTTCTTCAGATTCCAGTTTTTTGCGCTCGCACACACACACGCACAGAGACACACAGACACGCACACAGACACACACACGCACACACACACGCACACACACACAGACACACACACAGACACACACACAGTCATACACACACAGACACACACAGTCACACACACAGAGACACACACACACAGACACACACGCACACACACACACAGACACACACACACGCACACACACACACAGACACACACACACGCACACACACACACACAGACACACACACACAGACACACACACAGACACACACACACAGACACACACACACGCACACACACACACAGAAAAAAACCAACCCCACATGTGGCTCACATGGCACGTGACTGATGGAAGCGGCCCCTTCCACTTTAAACACATCACATCAGATCAATCGCGTTTATGCTACGCCCCACACCAGCGCACCAGGGACGAGTGGCTTATGTGCGGGGGGGGGGGGTCGTGCATTCAGCAGCATCAGAATTATTACAAAACGGCAGAAATATCTGCTAAGGTGGGATATTTAAAGATTTTCGTTGTAGGTTAATTGGAATTTGACAAAGAAAAAAGAATCAAGATGATGATGGTCAAGATAATGACGGAGTGGCAGTCTAGGAATGGAATGCATTATGAGGTTATGTCCACCGAGGAGATGGAGTGATGGAATCAGTCGGCGTTGCAGGTGCTGGGTACATCGCGGAAGTTGGCGGTGGCTCAGGGGATGCCTTCATCCAGCAGTGGATTGGCATTGCTGCTGCTGATTATGGTTCTAGCACATCGACAGTACATCATTGCTATGCCCAGTGCCTGCTGTACAGTGCTTTGTGAACCTTTATGAGAGGCACTTAATGAATAGAAACAATGTTAAAATTATATGATGACCTTTTATTTAAATGATTTCCGGGAGACATTAATAGTCACATTAAAATGTATATTTTCATTCATTCAAATGTATTTTTCTTTATACCCGCAATGTTCGTCAGAATCGGTAATTTACAATTAATGCACATTATTTAACATGATCACTTTTAGGCTCATGAAATAAAATGGGATGGAACAAATGAACCAGATGATATAAACATTTGGTGATGTTCCATTGGGGTTGGTGCACAAGGACAACAACAACAGCAGAACTATCACCTGAAGCCGTCGAATGGATTACTAACCTCGAGATCAATCATTAACTGCTTCCCCAGCCATACTTAAGAAGAAGAAGATAACACTTTGGCCATAAAAGGGAAAAACATATAGACAATGTTTTGTTTTTACCAATGGCCCTTCTTCCGAGCACATACAGAGATAGGCCAGAGAGGTTCACCTCCTCTTTACTGCAGCGTCATTAACGCACGTGTTGAGTTTTTAGATGATACGAACATTACAGTAGAAAGAAGACGTAATAATCCAGCCTTGAATTCAACATTTGCCCTGAACATGGCAATTCGTTAAGTATCAGGGGGAATGAATCGTTTCATGCCTCGTCTTTAATGCACAGGGCTACAGCAGATGGTAAACGCATTCTCGGATTGCGCCCTGCGAAAATGACCATGTGGTCGGATGCTAACAGCAGAATACGTGGAAGCCGGTTCGTTAGCTGGACATGCCCGACGCTCTGGGGTTTTTGCACTCACTCAAGCCCTGTCTGCTTCCTGCCTTCCAGAGAAGAGACCGCAGGAGAAAGCCATCGAGGAGGAGAGCGGCGAGGCGACCGATCAGATGCCCGTGCAGAGCCTGACCAATGGCACCAATTCCGAACCTGTTGGACTCGGAGAGAAGACGGAAGATACGAGCAAGAATGAGCCAGATGGTGAGCTATGATTTCACGTTTCACGATTTATTGTGCACTTGGCAATGGTTCTTGTTGCAGGGTATTATCGTCAAGAGATATAATAGGACAATTTGTAGCGCCATCTCGTTCTGTGTTGAATGTTGCTTATCCATCTTGGGTGAGGTGTTATATCTTCTGGCTTTAGCCACTAGCTTTCTATCTCAATTATATTCCATTAATAACAATACGGTTTGTAACGTGTTCACAATGTTTCACAGACATAAATGACCATGACTCTGAGACACAGAGCCAAGCTGATTTAACTTTTCCACCTGATAAGCCACTTTGTTGAGTTATCATTTGTGGCCAGGTGCCTTCTGAAAAATAATTGATGAGCTCAGTCGGCTTTACCTGGTAAAATAAATCAATGTTTAGTTTTATTTGCTATATTTTTTAAGCGATTTGTTCACCTTTCCAATACTTTTCACTCCAATCGTGTTTTTGAATTTTTGTTGTTGTAACGTTCTAAAACGCCCCCGACTGGAAATATGTGGAAAAGAGCTTTGTAGCTCATCGGATTCCTCCTCGAGTATAAATCTTCTGATTCTGATTCACTCGAAAACCAGGCAAATGGGGTGGTGGGGCCTCTACGCGTCCCTTCAAGTCGAGTTAGATCGACTGCTGCTGCCAATTTGGAGCGGCACAACGATGGCGTTCCATACGGCGGGGCTGTCACGGAGAAACGACGACCCGGCAGTCATGGCCCTCGTCCTCTGTGTGGAGAGGATGTCGCTGCTGCTGGTGTTCAGAAACAGAATATTTATTTACTTGGGGTTGTTCGTGGGTGCCTGTGGCTCCCACTCACAACCATTTACGGCCTTCTGCCAAGAAAGTCACAAAAAAACTTCACACGAATGACGCATTCACGCAAGCACCCGATGCTCCGTTTTGAAGTTTTAAAATGAAACATCTTTGAATCGTTCTATGCTTTAAATTAGATAATTGTATTTCTTCATTAATAGCTTTTCTCATTTTACATCTGGAAGACTTCATTGAAAAGGACATTTTGTGTGAATTTTCTCTTGTCGTTAAGTAGATGGCCTTGCTGGGGGTTCAGTTCGATGCGGACTTTCACCTGTTTGGGATTGCGGGATTGAGATAAGGCGACGTAGAGCTGGCCGTGCGAGAAGACCGCCGTCTGCAGATCGATTCCAAAGTAATCGAACGTCTGTCCCTGCACCTTTGTCGTCCATGCAGGGGGCGCGTAGGTTTGCAGCGCCCCCTGCATGAATACGACAGAAAGTGCAGCGTCCATCACAGATAGAGAAAGTTGCGGGCTTATATAAGAGTATACTGGAGGAATCCGATGGGCTATGAAGCGCTGTTCTCACAAGCATCCAGTGTTGCTGATCGGCTCGGGCTCTCGGCCGGCCTACGCAGTGCAATCCGGAAATACACTTCAGAGAATGATAATGCTGTATTGTCTCCCTGCTCGACCTCGTCAATGTCCAGGCCTGGCGGAGGGCATTCTGGCTCGGGTGTCATCGCCTACGATCCCCGAGGGAGGCGCTCGCCGGGAAATCGCTCCGGCACGTGACGCGACCGCCGTATCTCCCGACAAGCCGAGTGGCCCGCGGACATTTGCGGAGCGCTTCAGCCGTGTCGCCTCTTCCGAGCAGGACGAGGAGGGCGAGAAGGAGATGCCCCCCGTTCCTCCGCCACCCCCCCGCAAGGAATCGGATCAGCTGTGGGAGCAGATGCTGGCCAAGACACACGAGCTTCGCATCAAAGGTTCGGCCCAGAGATTATAAACGGAAGGGGGTCTTGGTTCTCGTTTTCTCGCTTCTGCAGCTATGGGGATGAAGCTGTGGGTGACTTCTGATGAATTCACTAAAGTCTTCGAACTTATGAGGGATTACCCAAAAGCGGGTAATGTTATTTGTCGATCCATTACTGGATGAAGACGTATGTATGGAGAACTTCTCTCGCACCGTAAGTAGCCAACTGTGCTAATCGGAGGTGCGGGGGAAGGACAAGAAGCTAAATACTTAAAGCAGTTTTAAAGATATTAGCTTTCAGTGTAGAAGTACATAGCTCCGGTGGTTTCCTAATATTGGAAAGAACAGTGTTCTCGACGGCTGCAGAAGTGCATCCGAAAGCGCGCGATGCAGTGACCGTCTTTATTTGATGGCTAGTTTGGGTGATGAGTTTATGATCCTTGACGAGATCCGCAAGGTGTTGTGGTTCAAAAACCTTCCACTGCCATGTTGAATGATTGCCCGGATGGGCAACACTTTGAAAATGAGACACATGCTATTTTGGGTGTTGTTCAGGAGCAAAAGCATTGGTCAACCAATCCCATGCATCTCTCGGCAGACATGGACTTCACGGACCTGAACGAGGAGGATGACGTGGACATGCTGGACTTTGACAACTTGCTGTTACGCTCGGGCGACTCCGTGTCGCTCCCACCACCGCCGCCCATCTTCCCGTCCATGGCCTCTGTGCTCTTCTCGCCGCCGCCACCTCCGGGCTGCCCTCCTACCATGCCACCATCGTCGGCGTTGACGGGCCTCATCCTCCCTCCGCCCCCTCTGTTCGCCTCGCCGGCCCACCAGGCTCGCGAGGGCACTCCCGGGGGGCCCGGCTCGCCGGCTCTCGCCCACTCCCTCAAGAAGAAGAAGACCGTGAGGCTCTTCTGGAGCGAGGTGCGGCACACGGAGTGGCAGCACCGCAACCACCGCTACGGCAAGAGCTCGCTGTGGGCCTCGCTCGACCCCGTGGAGGTCGACACCAACAAGCTGGAGATCCTCTTCGAGTCCAAGTCGAAGGAGCTGCCCGTCACGAAAGTGAGGGGTTTCTCGGTGGCGTCGTCGCGACCGTCGTGATCGTCGTCGTGTTGAGCGGTTCCTGGTGCAACGTGCTCAATTCACAACGAGAAGGTCGCCATTATACAAGGCATCATGTTTGCAATAACCACAACACAAGCAGTCAAAATAGTGACTGCTTGTGTTGTGGTTATTGCAAACATGATGCCTTGTATAAAGGTGTCAGTTTTGTACCAGTTTAAAGGGTAAAAACCTACTACTATATTTTGCCACTGGTAAAGGAGGTCTCATAGTAGAAGGTCGCCAGTTCAGATCCTGATCATAAATCAGCTCGGTGTACGATTCATTGATGAGTAATGATCATTTTTACAATAATTATTATGTTTATTTCTAACCGCTTTTTGCGTTTAGTTTGTTGTCTTTCCCCTGCACCTCCGATTAGCGTAGTTGGGTACGTAGGGTGACAAAGAAGTTTAAAGTACGTACTTGTGCGGAGACTGTCCCACTGCCTTGGGAGAACGGACTTTCCACGACTGGATTCAGGCCAACCATGAGGATATGCACTGCCCACTTTTGTAAATGGGAATACTTTGGCGTAGGCCTCATGGCGCCATATTTATGACACGCAACAAGACAGGTGTAAATTCACTGGTTTTAAGTATAGCGATGGTTGTTAAGCTGGGTGAGTGGACTGGCAGTCTATAATGTAGACTGTAGCCTCCTTCTTAACCTCGGTGAGTGTACTGGCAGTCTATAATGTAGACTGTAGCAATGGTTATTAAGCTGGATGAGTGTACTGGCAGTCTATAATGTAGACTGTAGCCTGGTTATTCAACTGAGTGAGCCTACTGGCAGTCTATAATGTAGACTGTAGCCTGGTTCTTAACCTCGGTGAGTGTACTGGCAGTCTATAATGTCGACTTATTCTTGGTTCTTTCGGTAATGTGTGTTGTCATGTACGGTGGGTGGGAGGGCTGTTGTTGTGGTACGGTTTTACCAAGTTCAGTAATTTGCGAGCAATTCTTCAATTTGGAAACCTTGGACCGTGACGCCAGCACGTGTGACACATGTGACCTACTATTTTTGTAATTTGTTTGTCGACGTTGCCATATTCTGAAATGCCCTGCATCGCCCTCTTCACGTACGACTAATAACACGTGGGTCAAGCGAGGTGCAGCTGTCTGACATGTGTTATCAACTATGTAATGTCATGTTTTGTTAAGTAACGACGACAATGAGTGTAGTGACACATGACACCAGCACTTGCCGGGACCGCATTGTGAGTGACATCCAATGTTGCATCTCGGTGCTCCCTTTGTCGTAAGACATTGAAATTAATCAGCGAATAAACGAGATGGAAGCATCAGTGGGCTCTAATTTATGATGTGCATTGTTTTAAGGTGACTGCGTTTTTAGTGCTGCAGAGGCATCAATTCAAAAGTCAACATATTAGTGTTTAACGCTGCCCTATGACAGTCACAGTAAATCATTAACAGCTTGCCAATCAGTAGGTTGCCTATGTTGGTGTGGATACTCCGACCTCTGCCGAGACGACTGGCCAGACGTGGAGGCGCTCTCTAGCGTACCCTCCGGAAGAGGTCGCTCCCGGTAGCAGTGGCGTGACCAAGCAATTGTAGGGCCGCACCTTTGCTTTTGCGTTGTATAAGGACATATGAACGGCGGGGCAGTCGGCCCCCTTGAGAGTAGAGAGAGGGCAGAGATAATGACAAATCACACCTTAAAGTGTGGAAAGAAATTAACATCTGTCCATTCACATGAAAAAAAAATATTTCTTACACATCTGGCTACGTACGGAGCAAAATAATTTCTACACACATACATTCCATCAGCTACGCGGGTTTCTAGGAGTACATAATCTCAGCAGTGTCTCGTAAGCAGTCAGTCTCGCTTGAACGAAAGCTGGTGAGCTGCCAGATGTTCATACTCCAGGACCTTCTCTGTTAGATACGGCTCCTAGTTCGACGCATAATTAACCATTTTGTGTTATGTACTTTAGCATATGGCTTTATTGTGTGTACCTCCCATTAGCATGGTGAGCTGCGTACGGTGAGAATGAAGTTCAACTTACATACATACATACATGCTATGTATGTACTTCTTTATGTCGATAGTCCAAGATTTGACTTTTTAGTTTTTTTTAGTTTTTACAAATCTCGCCGTGTCTTTACAGAGGAGCACGACGGATGGGAAGCGACAGGAGCTCATCGTGCTGGACTCGAAGCGGAGTAACGCCATCAACATTGGCCTCACCGTCCTTCCACCACCGCGCACAATCAAAACCGCCATCCTCAACTTTGACGAATACGCCCTCAACAAGGAGGGCATCGAAGTAAGACACACCTCCAAACGGGCCGTCAGATCAGCGTTCCTCGTCGATAGCCGCACACCAGAGGTCGCAACCGGGTACCCGATACCCGTACCCTACCCGATACCCGGCTACCCATACCTGGCCAGGTATGGGTACCCGTTTGCTACCCTTGTGCGGCCGGGTACGGGTACGGGTAGACCGTGAGTCACTCGTGAGTAACCGTTTGTCACTCATTTCCCAACGTCTTGTCTCTTCTCACAATTCAAGTTCCTCGAATCAACCCACCCGCGCCTGCAACATGGCTTCATCCCAGAGGTCGCAATCAGGTACCGATACCCGTACCCTACCCGTACCCGGCCGGGTACGGGTAGGGTACGGGTACAGCCGGGTACGGGTATCCGTTTGCGACCCTGGTGCGGCCGGGTACGGGTATGGGTAAGGAATCAAAACCCCATTGGAACCTCATTTGCCAGTAAAAAATATGATAATTGTTTTTTTACCCTTCTATCTGGCATCATCTGGTCCAACCCATGTGCGACTAGGCTCTAAGGAAAGCTGTATCGGGTGTGGACCAATCAACTTCAAGGACAGTGCACATTATCAGAGTTGTGTGTTTTGTTTGCATTATGACTGCAGGTATTGTGGTCTATGCAAACATGACTCCTTGTAAAAAAGGTGTCAGTTTTGTTGCCAGATAGAAGGGTAAAAAAAACAATTATCGAATCAAAACCCGTTTGCGACCTCTGCCGCACACTCATTTACCCTGTCGGCGAAACCCCTTTCCTGCGATGGTGCTCACGGTGTTGCTGATGGTGGCCCGTTGCAGAAACTGCTCACCATGATCCCCACGGAGGAGGAGAAGCAGAAGATCACGGAGGCGCAGCTCGTGAACCCCGACGTGCCCCTCGGCTCTGCGGAGCAGTTCCTGCTCACGCTGTCGTCCATCAGCGAGCTCTCCGCTCGCCTCCAGCTCTGGGCCTTCAAGCTCGACTACGAGACGATGGAGAAGGTTTGTGCGAACCCGCTCGGCTTCGGCGTGTGCAGAGTAATAAATCAGGCGCCACTGTGGCGAGATGTTAACTACCTCGCCCGGTATACAGGAGGTTGTGGTTTAGATCCTGACCCCGACGCTTGTATATTTGGAGTTTGCATGCTCTCGCCATGGTCGTGTGGATTTTTCTTTGGGTCCTCTGGTTTTTCCCTCCACGTTTATAAACATGAGTTGAGAGTATTCGGCTGCTATACATTTCCACATGATTAGCCACCACGCATGATTAGCCACTTCGTTGCGCTATCATTTGTGGCCAGGTCGCTTCTGAAAAGAGCTATACTTGGTGAAATAAAAATATTTTAGTTTATAGGTGTTTTAGATGTTTAAACACCAAATAGATACCTATTGCAAGGCATCACGTCTGCATTAGCCACATACTTGTGACAAAACAAACAAACATGCTCTGATTATAATATATGTATCGCCCTTGAAACTGATTGGTCTACACCACAGACAGCCTTCTGTATGGCCTCGTCTCACCAGTGTTAGACCAGAGAACGCCAAAAGGTGAACAGAGTGGTTAGTGCAGACTTGATGCCTTGTGAACGGTATCTATTTGGTAATTGAACATCTTAACACCTGTTTTATTTCCAGGAAGGGTAAAGTCTGTTCTTATTTCTTCATGATTTTGATACGTAGATATGCGTATAGAGTAACCAGCGGAGTGGCTCAATGGAAATGCGAGCGGCTCACAATCGGAAGGTTGCTCATTAAAATCCTGGTTGGAGGTTGACTCAGCCCATCATCCCTTCAGGGTCTTTAAATTGAGTACCACTTTGGTGCGAAAATCAACAGCGGTAGTTATATGGAGAAGCTTACCCCCATCAGAGCCACCAAAGCAAATGAGTGCCATGCAATTGCTTACAGAAGTATGGAGACACTTTAACATGAATATAAAATAACATAACGAATTTGCTCATTTAAAGAGAAGCGTTTCAAACAGCTGATTATTTGCAGTTATTCATTAATGATGACCACTTCCTGTGTCGTCGTGCCACCGGTATGTAAAGGCAGAATTGTATACACAGTCCTACAAATTAAAAACCCACTCCAGTTTAGAGATTCATTGAGAAATAAAGATAATGATTTGTTATTGATACGGCACCCAGTAAACACCGCGGCGTATCAAAGTGTCGACAGTCAACTCAGTTTTCTATCTCCCCGAATACAGGAGGGCGTGTTCCAAACAGCGCGGCTGGGTGCCGCATGTAAAGCAGTCCTTTCACTTTGAGACACCGGTGAAGCCTCACACCTCTAATTAGCTACGTACGTTGCGAAAGGAGTCCCACGTACATACGTACAAGTTCAAGCCCTGATCTGCGTACCCCACGTGTCTTGTGCCTTCCATAGGAAGTGGCTGAGCCCCTTCAGGACATCAAGGAGGGGATGGACCAGGTGGAGAAGAATCGCACCCTGAGATGCATCCTCACCACCCTGTTGGCTGTGGGGAACTTCCTCAACGGCACAAACGTGAGTGGGACCGTGAGCCTCTCCATTCCCAGTTGCCTGGGGCTAGAGCCGGGGCTCTCCGACTAATTAAGAGATCGACGGCTCCGCCAATTGTCGGCGCCAATTGTTCGACCAATCGGATAACACGACCATCGTTGGGAAAACGTCTCGCCCCTTCTCTCCCCATGGGTTGGTGACGGGTGGCGCTTGGTGACGCCATCGGCATCGTCGGCCACGCCACGGCACCTGCGACTTCTAAGGGGTGGGGGAGCAGGATGTCAGGGTGGCCGCCATTTTATAAGTGGCTCAGTCGTTCGCCACAAAAGAAGTATTCGATTACAATGTTTTTATCAATTAATCGACTCAGTTGACTAATGATCCCAGCTCTACTTGCGACTCTGAACACCTTTGCACTCCGGCCGTACACACCATTATCTTGCATCGGACTGCTTTAGCCACCTGGTATTTCCTAATATTTACGTTCATGTGAAACTGACATTGATTGAGATCGTTAAAAGTCAAATAGTGTAGCTGCTAACATTAGTAATGAGACAGTTGTAATCTCAGTTGGTGGTCCTGAGCCGTTGGTAGACATTCCACATTTCCATGGCAGAGGCCAGTCTAGGGAATGGGACAGCCACTTGTGACATCCCACAGAGCGTTACTCTGGGTGATGAGATAAATGCCAACTGGGAATTAAACTCATTACCTAATTATTCGTAAGTGAGTGCCACCTGGCCAGCTCAATCAACATCTCTCTTGAGTATAGCTCAGGGTTGAGCAACCAACGGAAATTCAATTCAGATGAGAGCTGAAAACACAGGGTGCAGTATTGTCCCCAGTGGCGCATGCACTTTTGTTATGCGCTGAGACCCCTCTCCTCCTGCCGGTCACAACCGTGCAGGCTAAAGGCTTCGAGCTGTACTACTTGGAGAAGGTGCCCGAGGTGAAGGACACGGTGCACAAGCAGTCTCTGCTACACCACGTGTGCAACATGGTCGTGGAGAAGTTCCCGGACACGACGGACCTGTACTCGGAGATCGGCGCCATCACACGCTCCGCCAAGGTGACAGCAGCAGCAGTGGCGACGCTTCACTCCCCATGCCATGTGATATCCAGGGATAGTGATGGGTAATTGCGGGCCCTCGGCAGACATTATCGCAGGACAAACCTCGCCCTGTGCGGTTTTATCGAACGTGCGTTTCGGCTGCTGCAATTCTCATCTCCGCGTGGAAAAGTAGTGCCGTGAAAGAGCTGCATCCGTTGGAAGGTGTGAGTGAATCGACTGTGTGCAAATATGTACAATCTCTTACTTTGCTTAAACCATCTAACTTGCTGCACAGGGATTTTTTTTTTACTTTAAATGCGGATGTCAATTGAGTGCTTGACCACGGGATTTTAGCAGCGCGATTGGCTCGGTAACCCTATGACATGAGCTCCTTTAGCCATGTTCAGCCTTCTGTTATATGTAAAAAAAAATACACTTTTAGAAATATCTCAGCTGCATGAGTTTCAGTTGCAGCAAAAATGTCCTGACAACGCTTGGCCCCTTTTGTTTACAGAAATAAAGAATCTGATCGAGCTCGGTATAACATTCAACCTATGTCCGGATGATGGTGTCTCCGAAATGGGAAACCAGCAAACACAGCCGTTTGTTTATCCAGAAAAACATCACCGACTAGTTGAGAGTTTTTAGGAGGGTCTTGTATCGGAATAATTGTCCAATTCCAATAATGAGTGTTTGGCATGTGGGAGGAAATTGAAGTACCCACAGAAGACCCACGCATATGAGAGGATAACAAGCAAAGCCTCACACAGATTTGGCTAACCTGCCGCATGCTGCCTACCTCACAGCGCAGTGGGTTTGGGAGTTTCACAAATATGTAGGACACACCAATGCTCGCTTCCAAAGTGCTGGATCGCTGGCACGGTGTGGTGTTTCGAGGGGTAGGAAGCCACCGGAGCCACGCACTTTTAAATCCGGATTTAAAACCAATTTCTTGCAGAACTACTCTTTGTGTTTAGTTTGTTGTCCTTCCCCCGCACCTCCGATTAGCACGGTTGGCTACGTCCGCTGCGAAAGAAGTTCAACGAACATACAATGAGATTGGATGGGATGCAGGGAGCTCGAGCCAGTGCATCTGCCCTTGGGAGGAATAACTTAACAGAGAGACAGGGATTGAAGAGAGACGGACGGAGCAGCCGGAGCTGGGAAAGTTATTAACGTCTCGGTGTTGCCACCACTCAGGTGGACTTTGATCAGGTTCAGGAGAACTTGAACCAGATGGAGCGGAGGTGCCGGGCCTGCTGGGACCACCTGAAGGCCATCGCCAAGCACGAAACCAAGCCGGTGCTCAAAACCAAAATGTCCGAGTTCCTCCGAGACTGCGCCGAGCGAATAATCATCCTCAAGATCGTGCATCGGAGAATCGTCAACAGGTGTGTGTGTGTGTGTGCGCATGCACGTCCGTCCGTTGAGGACTCGATCTTCTTCTTCTTCTTCTGAGAATTCCCCGTCACTCGTGTGGCGTCTGCCGACCCAGGTCAGACTCCCTTCGTTCATTCCTTGTGTAGAAGAGTTGGTGACGACGCGCGCCGTTTATTAAGGGCTACATAACACACGGGGGGGGGGGGGGGGGGTGGTGAACCACTTCCCAGGGGTTAGGGGTTCCCGGGCCAGGTCCCACTGGGTCCCGACACAGCCGGCTGCCCCGTGCCGTCTCCTCTGCGCCGGCCGTGGGATCAGCCAACACGGCCGAGACCGAGGAGCACAGCCACGTCCAGCCCTGACGCTGTGCTATCCCCTATTCCTACCCTCTTGCCCCTGGCTCCCCCCATTCCACCCTACTTCGACCCTACTCTCCAGCTACGACCTCTTTATCCTCGAGGAGCTGTGTCGTCATGTGCGCTGTCCAGCGCGCATGACTCCACGTCCCGTGACGCCATCGCACCGGACAGCGCACATGACGCCACTACTCTCTTCTACTCCTCTACACCTGTACTCGACCATCGCTATGTCCAAAGCACAGCTCTTTGTGTCCTGGTTCACCATGTCAAGTCACCTCTCTCTCTCGGCCTGCCCTGCTGGTGCTTCATTACTCTTAGATTATTCACATTATCCGGCTGCTATAAATGTCCACGTGACGATAAGCCACTGCGTCGAGCTATCATTTGTGGCCAGGTTGCTTCTGAAAAAATATGGAATTGCTTCCTGGTAAAATTAAAAATTGTTGACTTACATTTTTAGTGATTTGCTTACCTTTCCGGCACTTTGCACTGCCGTGTTATTGTATCGTTTGTTGTGACTTTCTGACCCGCCCCTCCTGGACAGCTGTTAACAAGAACTTTACAGCTCATCGGATTCTTCCGGTATAAATAAAGATTCTGAAACTACTGGACACATTTATTCGCTGTCGTTTTGGAGGTGATTTGAGTTTTCAGCAGTGATCAATCGCAGTGGAATCACAACTGCTTACGCCACAGTGAACACAGTTGGCTCACAAAGAGCCACAGTGCACAGAAAGCTGCCGTGGTTTGGTACAAAACTGATTCCCGAACAATGAAGAGGTGATCGAGGGTGTCCGTCGCCACCTTGACGTGCCTGCCTGCGGATGATACTTGTCTGTGTTCTTTTATGTTTCTCATCGTGATTCTTACACGATTAGAACCGCGTAACAATTACAGCGCAGAGCATTCACGAATTGCAGTGCAAGCGTAGCCGGCACGCCCTGTCTCTCTCCTCCCACGACTCCTAACGAGTGGGACAGGTCAGCTTAAATAGACAACAACAAAAATCATAAAGTTTCGGCGACGATGAGCGGGCACTCCGCATTGTGGGCGACTCCGCAACAGCTGAGCACCAGGGGTTTGTGAAACGGCAAAGCTTTATTTCCACGTGTTCTTACTAAGGGCATTTGCATATTTGCAATAGTGAGCGGTAACACCCACCGAGTCACAACACCGCAGCTTAATCTCTCAGCACGGAGTCCGCCCAAATATAAATTGGAAGGCTTGTGCCCCGTACTCTACAGAGCACATGGGGCTCGGGGCCCTATCCCCAGTCACCATTGCCTTCACTTAAAATAAACAAAAAACACGCACCTGGCTACCCGCACAATTATACGTGCGATTAATCGCAGGCGAGCTCACACACCGGCCACACGAGGCTATCGATTCAGTGATCAAATGACGGCCGTGGTCTATGAAGCGGCCAAACGAGCCCACGGCTTGACGTGCGTCGTCCGCCCCTCTCGCCGTCGCCAGGTTCCACGCGTTCATGCTGTTCATCGGACACGCGCCCTACTCCATCCGGGACGTGAGCATCACGCGCTTCTGCCGCATCGTGAGCGAGTTCGCGCTGGAGTACCGCACGGCGCGCGAGCGCGTGCTGCAGCAGAGGCTCAAGCGGGCGACGCACCGCGAGCGCAACAAGACTCGGGGGAAGATGATCACCGACGTGAGTGGCAATGTCCCCCGCGTGGCTCCCCGTGAGGCTGCACGTGGAACTAACCCCCACACCCCTCAGCCCCCCACTCCCCAGCTCCCCACCCCCCCCAGCCCCCCCATGAAAGCCACCGCAAAAAAACAATCGATCGCAAACGCCGCCCCCCGCTGCGCACCGCCTGCTTACGGCACGTACTGTCGTCTGCAATGGTCCCGTTACTGCAATGGCCGGGTCGTATGTTGACGTCTCACCCACCCTTGTGTTGGGAGGATCAGCTCCGGAAGAATCTCCCGGCACATGGCGGAGCGAACCGTCGGACACCGTGCCGAACAGCGCGCGGTACAACCCGGGAACGCATCAAAGACCTACGCAGGGAAACTGCTAAATCCTATGCAGTCGCACATTATTCCAATAACAGGATTCATTTTTCCCAGTGGAATTTTGCTCCAGTTTTTGCCACCGTTTAGATATTCAAAAGACAGCAATAGTTTACTCCTGCGACAGCAGTTCTCCTGCTGTGTTTGTCTCACCTGATGACGGTTGCTTGTATTGCGATTGAAACGTCGTGATCTATTAATTTTCTACCTACGTGACTTTACCGAAAGAACCAAAGAGTATGGATTCCTGCAGTCACGAAAGCTTCAAATCAAGATTGAACAATAGTTTAATGCATCTATAAGAGTAGCATTACATGCTAAAAGTTACTATCATGCTATATTACGTTTGACTGCCCAGTTATTACTGTGATGTGGACAGGGGTGATTTAAGCTCAGTTGTGAGAGATAGTCATTCATATATCGAGTTATATTCAATAAAAATAATGTAAGTTTCAACCAAAGTATCCTTTGGTGTATTCCACATTTATAGAGCCCTAACGCATTCCTTTGGGGTTGCTATGGGATGGTAAACGGCACGTTAACTCATACACACAGCAGGCATCATCCGCCCTGTAGTGAGACCAGAAATACCGATATAAAGTAAGTATTACTTCTTGGAATCACAAAACAATAATTCAGGGTTAAGATGAATACATGAATTTCATGTTATGAAAAACGTCAACATTAAACAGTCGGTAAACCTTTTTAACGGATAATTGTTTAAAATTTACATTCCAAATTATTACATGCTATAAAATTCATACTTTGTTTCATAAAAAATAAAATCTATTTCCAGTAGCGGGAAAATGTTCAGTTACGTATGTTTAGTGACTATAAACAATAACCCTTTTTTGTTAACGTTCAAACTGGCATTTTCCTTGAATTTATAGTTGAGGAAAAAAACACATTCAACAGCTACCATTATATTCTTTTAACTGTTGGGCCACCACTGTTATACATTACAGATATTCACCGACAAAGAGCTTCACTGCTTTTGTACATGTTTCTTAAAAAAGAAATCAATCTTTTATGTTGAAAGCATCTATTCATTACAATGTGGTATCTTTTGTTTGCAATTCCTGTCATTGCCCATCTGTTTAATTTTAATGCATGATGTCCCTTCAGTTATGCCTCCTGTATTATTTATGTGCCGATAGCGTTACACACTGAAACGCTAGGCAGTATTATTTTCATCCTTTTGAGTCCTTTTCAAATGTAGGCTCCTTCCTTTCGAGAAGCCTGCATTCAGAAGCACGCTTTAAAAAAGATCAATTAATCCCGCTTGACAAATTATACTGGCCAGTTTACATTGGCCGTAGCCACGGCAAAGAAAGTACGATAAAGTAGGAGAAAAAAAAATCATAACAAATGGTGTGTTTTGCCAACCAGCGCTATCTGCAAAATGTATTGCATTTGGAATGTGCTTTTCGCGAAATTTGTTTAACTTTTCATTGTAGTCACTTTGATCAAGCGTACTCTCTCTCGTAACTCTTTTGCTTTTCTTCTGCATTTGTTTCCTCCCGCATCCCACCCGTGTCCCATCATCGCGCCTTTGCCTCTTCTTCATAGACCGACGATGAAGAGGCGGCGGAGGTAGAGTACCCTGAGACATGTAAACTCACTACTAACCCTCATCGTGTTCCCCGCGTTGCTCAGCTGACTCCTGGGGCCTCGTTCAAATCACGCTTTCCTGGTGCCCACAATGTATGGCTTTTGTCGGGAGAAAAGGTGGCAGTAAAGGTGGTGGTAAAGGGGACAGCCCTGCAATTGCTTGCTCACGTGACTCCGGGGAGGGGTGGGAGAAGGATCTCCACCAGATAAAGCTTATGAGCCCTTCTAAAGCTTAGTTGGCCTACTCTTCCACGTTGGCCAGATGTTTCGGAAGAGGTGGAAGTACCCTGACTATACCCTACCACGCACAACCTACCGATCTGCTGTGTTGCGGGAAGAGGCAATACAATGTTTGCTGTGTTTTTATTTAATTTTACTTCTTCAAATTTTATGTTACTTAAATAAATATGGACGTAAAGATTTTGGATTTGAAAATATACAACATGAATGCCAATGATATTTTTCTACATGCAAAATGCATTTTCATTTTATTTTCATTTTGAATTCACTACGTTATTATTCAGGAAATGAATTTGTTTTCAAATGCCTTGTCATTTATCACACTGACCCGACCATACTGGACGTCTTTATAAAAAGAGCTTCATGGATAATCGGATTCCTCATGCAGTCTAAATAGAGACTTTCATTCTGATCAAAGGGACATATATCCACACAAAAAAGGAATATATGTTCCACATTCCTGTGATCGTCAACTCAAAGCACGTTTTAGATGGGGCCTTGTTGGTTGAAGGCATGCACATGTACACACACACACACGTGTGCACCCAAACACCACACAAATACATGACTCTCTCACTCACGTTAACATCCCTCGCCTTCACAAGACCAGCTCGTTTCTGTCAGTGCTTTACTAACCTTTGCCGGGATTGAAAATACTATCACAGGTAACGTAAGAGCCACAAGTGCACTGAACTTTGTAAACTCTAGATTGTTCAGTAGCTTGCTTTGTCAACCTGTAAGATTGAAAGTTGCCTTGCTCGGAGAGTTGCAATAATGACTGCAACAGCAATGAAGTAAGATGGTTGTTGTTGCAAGAGACAATGCTTTTATCAGGATTTAAATACATATCCGATAGGTTTGCAATCTAACAAATACCCATGAATGTTCTACTTATCTTATTCTTAGGTTTTTTCGGTAAAGTCACGTAGGTAAAAAATTAAAATTCATAAAAGTAAAATAAAAAATAAAATAAAAATCACGACGTTTCGGAGGCAACACAAGCTTCCGTCTTCAGGTGGAACCGTCACAGCACGCTTGTTGTATCAACGTCGTGATTTTTATTTTATTTTTATTTTACTTTTATTAATTTTAATGTTTTACCTACGTGACTTTACCGAAAAAACCTACGAATATGAATCCTTGCAGTCACGAAAGCTTCAAATCTAGAATGAAGTTCTACTTATCATTCACAAATTGCTGCTCAAATCTTTAACACAGCTCAGCATAAGCGTATCTACACAAGGGCACTATGGCTTTACAATCAAAACAAAGCAAAGCATAAAATGTTTACTGCGCGGTATTGCCCAAAACATTGCAATGCTGAAAAGTTTCCTGCAATTACCCAACTGCGATTACACACAGCAGTCAGCAGCCGTATTGCAGGAACCTCCTGCAAAAATACTCACCGAGGCTCTCCCGGGTAAAAAGAAAAGCATTGTAAATAAAAACAAATATTTCACACAGTATGCTGAGGGTGAAAATATGAATACATTTAATTCCGTTAAGGGTGTACAAGTACCATAGCGGTTTGTTTGGAGCATTTGTGGAAAGTTTCATCAGCTCGATGATGCACGGCGCCTTTCGATGGTCCGACGGCATTCAACAGCGCGCTGCAGATGGAGCATTGCTGCACCTTGGCTCTTGTGCAGACCGATCCCAACGGCCGCTTTGATCTTAATCCAAGATTTTAAAAAAAGGTTGAAATTCCTCCAAATATGCGCAGCGCGCGTGTCATATCTCTCCGCGTGTTCACATCTTCTCCGGTGAACGGTTGCTGCTATTGTCTCTAATGCGCATTGCACATCTACGAGCAACACAAAGCAGGAGAGCGTCGACATGGTGATCAGGGCACTGCACTGCGAACCCAACGAGACGAGTTTTAGCCCTGTGCCAAGTCTAGCATCAGTGGCGGGTATGAACCCGCAATGACCAGCGTGGTGAAGTATGGTCAAACAACCGCCATGATCAGTGCAGTGCGGTGAAGCCTTCCTGCAGCAATGAATTAACAAAGGGCTGTACATTAAATACAAGTCATATTTGGTTCATCCACCAGACTTTCTTTGGGATGTGCATACTTTCATATGGTATGTTACATATAGACTAGGTGGCCGAAAAGGTGGGCAAAAATCCACTGGGAAAATGTATCATAATAAAGATTTTTTGGGTTAGATCGCTTAAGTATGAATGTGTCGTAACTCTCCACCACCCGACACAGCCAATTAGAAAGGGATTTGCCATGTAAACAAAACACCAATTAGTTACTACTTCAGCACACCGGTGCGTTGGAGAGTAAATGTAGTAACTAATTGACGTTTTTTTTACGTGACAAATTCATTTCTAATTGGCTGTGTCGGGTGGTGGAGGGTTACGACACATTTATGCTCACGCGATCTAACCCAAAAAACCTTCATTATTATACATTTTCCCAGTGGATTTTTGCTCGTTATTGCCTCCGTTTAGATATAACATTGCTTGATAAACACAATAGTTTCATGCATCTATGAGAGTAGCCGTACACGTTAAAAAGTTACCATGCTATAGTATTGCGTTCGACTGCCCAGTTATTGCTGTGATGCACACGTGTATTGAGTGACAATGGTGAGAGTCATTCATATACTGAGTTATATTTAATACAAATAATGTAGGTTTTGATTTAAAACTTTCGTGACTGCAGGAATTCATATTCCTGGTTCTTTCGGTAAAGTCACGTAGATAAAAAATAAAATAAAATGTTCATTTTAAAATAAATTGAAAATAATAAAAGCAAAAAAAAACCACGACGTTTCGATCGCAACACAAGCGGACTTTACCGAAAGAACCAAGAATATAAATAATGTAAGTTCAACGCTCGTACAACATACCGAGTGTGAGTTTACCATCTTTATTTTTTTAGGGGGGGGGGGGTGGAGGGGGTGCCAGTAGCGAAAAAGTTGGGAACAGATTATCCCCCCCCACCCCAACTCCCCTCGAGTATTCAGGCTTTCCATTTGAGACCACTGACTCGAACTTAACGTAAATGCCGAGCGGAGTTGCTGTATAATTGCTTGATTGCCTGGCGGTGATGGCGTGGGGGGGGCTGCACGCATGGTGCACAGTTGGGACGTCTCGGCCGCGAATGCAATCTGATCCATTCCTCTCTCCTCTCCATCGTCCCCCCGGTCCCCCTTGTGCAGCACTTTACACAATCAGAGCCCTCGGCAAAAGAGAATGCGAATGCATTTTACTGTGATGGGACGACGACCTCACAGATATTTTTTTTAAATAAATTTTCACCACAGCAAATATTTAGAGTTCATTAATTACGTAAATCCACCTTACCGCAGCCGGCACTGCAGCAAACTGCATCTTTAGTCCTGCAAGTTTGACTTTCTGAAATGGAACACCCGCATTGCATGTGTGCGCATATATACACACACCATGCAATAGTTATCCCTCCGAGGCAAATTAGTTGAATGCGTTTCTAAGGTCAAATCTTGAATATGTGAACTCGGATTGACTGGCATTAAGATAAGTGTTCGCATTTAGCATTAGCAGGTTGAGTTACACTTAGAGTGGTAGCGATAGAGCTAGCTTTTACGGTTAGTGTTACAGTTGAGTGCTTATCTTGAACCGCAAACAAAGAATGCAAATGCTGTTCATATCACCTGCACCATGTGGCCAATTCTGCACCATTTCCAAGGTTACAAGGGCAGCAACGTTAAAACAATAGATTTGTTTGCATTTTTTTTGCACTGGGGAGTTGGAAGATATATGTGGCTCGTTATTTCGTGCTGTGCTGCGTAATTCCACCCCCCCCCCCCATACCGCCATGTACAGTATGCGAGATACTTTTGTGACTGAGTAATCCGTAACTGAACTTTAATCCTCTCGGCTGCGAGCCTCACACACGGCCTCAAGGAGAGCATATCTCGAATTTCACCTTTTAGAGGAAAATTACAGAGGATGTTCCCTTTTATAATAATAATTCTCGAAAGAACTGTTCCATTTAAGAGCCCCATTATGTCCTTAACGTAATTGTAAGTGAACCCCAGAACAATGATCTTAATATGATAAATGAAAAACTACAAGACTGCATTGTAATTGCCCATATCTCGTTTCAAAGCATTTCATTAGTTTAAACCACCTATACGATTGTGTATGTTCACATATATGCATTGTTTTACCTATGACTGTCCTCAAAAGAGAAATTGCTTTGACATTTATCTGGGGGCCTATTCTAACAACTATTTCGAGGCTTTCCCATGGAAAACACTACAAACGAAATGTCTGTTACATTGTTAAATTAGCCTTTTGTAAAAAAAAAAAAACCCACACAGACGCAATGAGAATATACTTATAGTTTAACACCAGCACCATGGGATTTTTCAATGTATTAGTGTAAGTGCTATATGATGTGACAATTGTACATATTCAGCATTTTCATGCGGGACAAGGAGTGGTTTGCACTCCCACTGTTGCCGTCACTGCAGGCAGCTCCTGTCTCATGGCCGTCGCACTCCGCACCGTTGCCGCTTGCGCCTGTCAGAACAGCAGGATTGTTGTACGCCTGCCAACTTTTTTTTCTCCAACATCCATTGGGGTATCTCCTTTAACGAGCCACCAGTCGAACGTAATCGTAGCAAGATGCCCCCGCCGCCGTCCCAGGAATGGAAAAAATAATCAGCTATAATGGCAACATAGAACAGGAGTTGCAGAAGAATAAATATTAAACTGTCAAATGCGTTAAACTTGTAAGCACCACGGAGGGGATGGTTTGTTATAGTCAGAGTTTATCTGCTCCGTGCGTTATCATACATTTTATATTAACAATGATCTTAAGTTTCACACGCAATTTAATTCACGTAATTGTCCCGTGTCCTTCCAATGGTAATTCTGGTTAGAGCACTCGCAATCACGAGGCCGCGAGTTCAAATGCTGACCCTTGCCCTCGGAATGTAGACTTTCCACCACTGACTCAAGTAAAATTGTTTTTCTACAGTCAGGAGATGAGCAGTAGCTCCACACCTTCCATCCCATTCCATTCCCTGATCTTGTCTCACTTTTAATCCTCGGGGGGGGGGGGGATGTTAACCTTTCCCCTTTGCTTGATGTAAAGTTTGTTCCATTGTCACTTCTTGACCCAGATCCCCCTTGAAAACGAGACATCCAGTCTCAATGGGTTCTCCCCCATTGCAATCGTACTCTTCCTGACATGCACACACACATTTTTTAAGATATCGTTGCTGTATGATAATAATAATGTCATGATAATTACAGACCTTTATCACTCCAATGCTGGATGAAGGCTTCTCCACAGAATGGGGGTTTAATTTTCGATTTAAAGCTTTCGTGACTGCAGGGATTCATCTTCTTGGTTCTGTCGGTAAAGTCACGTAGAAGGGAATTCAGACGCTGTCTTCAGACGCTGTCTTTCCGACAGACCTGTTCTTCACCTGAGGACGGCTGCTTGCGTTGTGGCCGAAACGTCGTGAGAATGATTTTATTATGTTTTATTTTTATTATTTTATTATTTCCCTTCTACGTGACTTTACCGAAAGAACCAAGAAGAAGAATGGGGGTTGTTTGACCTAACCACCCGACGTAGCCAGCTGCACCTCCGGTTAGCGCGATAGGCTACGTACGATGCAAAAGAAGGTTAACATACATACAACATACATGCTGATCAGTGTTGGTTGATAGGGGGGGGGCACAATTGGTTCAGAAAACCCCCTCCACAGATGTTAGCCTTGGCCGAGAATTGAACTTAACCCACTGGGTTCACAGCGCAGTGAGCCATGATATTAGTTTCATTAAATAGCGCCATTTAAAGTACCATTACAGTCGCCAGCATACGGTACTTGGATATTTGCATGAGGCCGATCCAACTAGATCAAGTGCAACCACATGTCATGTTCTGCAAAGGCGTTTGGCAAATGTTGGCCACTACGTAGCAGCAAGAAGAAACTTCCATGCAGTGCACTGGATATGCAAATGAAAAGAGCACCCTAATTAATCATGTGTAATTATGATAATGTTTTTTGCCAATCCATGCAATGTCGATCATGAGCGTTGTTTGAATATTCACCAAGCTGAGCCAGTTCGAGATCGGTGTTAGCCATGGCCCGGAATCAACCTCGTCAGGTTCACAGATGCAGTCCGCTAACCCCTCTTCCACCACACGGAGGTGTTAATTGATTAATGGTTGAACTTCTTTCGCACCGTACGTAGCCAAATGTGCTGATCACAGGTGTGGGGGGGAAGAATAACAAACTTAAAACACAAAAAGCACTTCGAAAGAAATTCGTTTTCACTTCAGATTTAAAAGTTGCACAGCTCCGGTGACTTCCTAACATTCCTTCAAAACTGTGGCGCCCCGCTCCCCTTTTTCCCGCTACGGCCACGGCTCGTGAAACGCAGAGCGGGAAGTTCTCGGGCGGCAGTGCCCAGTCGCCGCTGGCGGCGTCGGCGTCGGTGCCGGCCGTGCGGAGGCAGCTGGCGGCCGAAGACGACGCGGAACACGAGAACATGAAGGCCGTCCTGCGCACGTCCGTGCACGCGAGCGGCGGGCTGCACTCGTCCGTGCCCGGGATTCGTACGCGCGCGCGCACCCGCGCAAGCCGCGGTCAGTGAATCGCCCGACAGCCGCTCCCGTTTTGACATTTCCACAACGACAAAGACGCTGTCTCCCCGACAGACCTGGCCTTGCTGCAAGCCGCGGTCAGTGAATCGCCCGACAGCCGCTCCCGTTTTGACATTTCCATAACGACAAAGACGCTGTCTCCCCGACAGACCTGGCCTTGCTGCCTCCCCGACAGACCTGGTCTTCACCTGAGGACGGCCGCTTGCGTTGTGGCCGAAACGTCGTGAGAATTGTATTTTATTGTTTTATTTTTATTATTTTGTTATTTCCCTTCTACGTGACTTTACCGAAAGAACCAAGAAGATGAATCCCTGCAGTCACGAAAGCTTTAAATCGAAATTTAAAGACAAAGATTCCCCCTGCAAGTAGCCTGAGCCGACCGGCGGGGGCAAGTGCCGTTAGCGTAGCTGCACCTACGAAGGCCGGCAACGGCGGCACACGAGGAGGGTGGGGTGGCCTTTGACTCGCAGCGGCGATATTTACGCAGCGCACCAGGTACTTGTTTGACGATGAAGTTGACCTAGGGGAGGCCAAGGACCGGTTCAGATAATCGTCATTGATGTTGGTCGTGAGCGGGAATCGAACTCGGGTCACCGGATTCATAGCGCAGCACGCTAACCGCTACGCCCCCCCCCCCCCCCCACACACACACAGGTCAAGATAAAGGCCCTCCCCCCCTTGTTAATCCGTGACAGACTTTAACACGAGCAGGCCTTCATGACCAATATCATGATGCATTGCGATTTTTGGGTCAGATCGGGGCGTAAGTAAAATGTTAGTCGTAAACCCTCCACCACCCAACACAGTCATTAATAATGTTGTCACGTGGTGTTTCCACACATTGGTGTGCTGGAGAGAAATTCACAACATGTAACTCTTTGGGTACGATGTTTCGCTGGTAGCTCCATCACAGATATGTGGAATGACAATAATGGCTCTGGATCCCCAACAGTTCTGAGCATAAGACTCGTTGCTAATTTAAGCAAGGGGAAACAGTTTGACATAATTCTAACCTCCCATTCCAGATAAATAGTATTTCAATAGTGTAATTCTAACGTCAAAGCGCATGACCAAACTCTATTGTCATTACCACTGCCTCTCCCTGCCAAAAACACAAACAAAACTTCATTGAGTTTATGTCGCAATGGTTTATGTGTGAGAAACTTCTTCTGGACAAGCTTTTATTAAATTGCATAAGTAATGCAAATATACACATAATGAACCCAGATCGTTTAACCTCATCAAATATTTATCAAAATAAATATTTCACAATGTGACCAAACGTTTCAACACCTTAAAGGGTGACTTAGAAGGTTTAAAATACGTTTGTTGTTTTGATTATTTTCAAGGAGTTTTTCTCTCTCTCTCTCTTTTCTCCTCTCCACTTCCAGTTTGGGGAAAAGTAAAACCAACATAATGGCGCTGACAATGCCAGATTAATGATTTACGATTCTTATTTTCACTCGTGACCTGTACGGTACCTCGAATGTTTGCCCCGGCGGAGCGATTCATGACGGGCATTAACCAGGACTCGTGTTTTTTAACATGAAACATTTTTTTTCCCGCTCGCCTGGTTGCAGGCCGGGTGAGCACGGGGAGCGCTCCGGTGTTCGACGACTCCCCCAATGCGACGGACGACGCCACCGATGAGATCATGGACCGCATCGTCAAGTCGGCCACGCAGGCCCCGTGCCAGCGAGCAGCGACCCGCGAGCGACGCCGCTCTCGAGCGAACCGCAAATCCCGTAGGTTTCAGCAGCCCCCACCCCCCTCCCTCCTCCCTCCTAGCGCACACGGTGCACCCCGGTCGGCCCCTCTGCAATGCGGTGCATCTTGATGGTTTTTAGAACGAAACTAAACAATATTCTTAGGTTTTTTCGGTAAAGTCACGTAGGTAAAACATTAAAATTAATAAAAGTAAAATAAAATAAAAATCACGACGTTTCGGAGGCAACACAAGCCTCCATCTTCAGGTGGAACCGTCACAGCCACGACAGCTGTGCCTCCGAAACGTCGTGATTTTTATTTTATTTTACTTTTATTAATTTAAATGTTTTACCTACGTGACTTTACCGAAAAAAACTAAGAATATGAATCCTTGCAGTCACGAAAGCTTCAAATCTAGAATAAACTAAACAACAATTTTTTTTTATTTTACCGGGCAAGGCCGAACTGTGTTATACAGTACAGCTCTTTTTTTGAGAAGCGGCCTGGCCACAAACGATAGCTCATTGAAGTGGCTTATCGCGTGGAAATGCATCCCAGCCAAATATTCTAAAAGCATGTTTATGAATGTGGAGGGAAATACTGGAGGACCCGGAGCGAAAACCATGTGACCACGGGGAGAACATGCAAATTCCAAATATGCAGGTGTCAGGGTCGGGATCGAACCCACGACCTCCTATATACACATACATTTCTCCCTTTATGTATACGCATGGTGTGCAGTACGGCGTGGTAGGATTCTGGGGAACTGTGATATATCAGTAGGGGGTGGAGTGGTGGATGAGTGGTTAGGCTAAGTCGTTAGTGCACTATAAAACCAGTGACCTAAGTTCAATCTCCAGTCATGGCAAGCATCACTAGTGAGGGATATGTGAACCAGTCCTGCCAATCGCACCCCTCCCCCCCCTCCTTTTATCAACCTGCACTGACGACTGCAGTGAAGTATGGGCAAACAACCCCCATAATTGAAAAGTGTGGGGAGGACTTCACCCAGCAGTACTGTAAATTAGTATCGTTACATCAGTGGCAAGTGACATCTGAGAGTCTCAGACTTTAGCCTAAACTGTAAATGAGTGGCCGGTTTGGTGTGACAAGATCAGTACAAGGATAACAAAGATAGCTGGGAGTGGTGCAGGCGATGCCACTCTGTGTGCCATGCCCGTCATAATAATTCCGGAGGGTTCTGCATTGGGTTTTTACTTCAACATGTGTTCAGCCAATGAATGAGTGTTTATACAAGTGGGAGGAAACCTGAGAAAACCCCCGTACGCAAGAAAGCAACACTCTATCCCCATACAGATGGAAACAGATGGCAATTAGTAAACTTGCTGTACTGCCTTTTCCCGGTCGCGGCAAGCCACCCTGACGCCTACTGGAGGGGAATTTCACAACATTTGTGCGATGCACCAACCCTCGCTACCTCCACATTGCTGGAGTACAGGTCACGTGCATAGCCATCAACGTCCGACCTTATAGGTGCTCGCCAACAGCACTTTCCCCGACAAAAAGAGGAATCTTTGTCTGTCTCTATACGACCCTGTGCGCTCTACTCCAGGGGAATGTTTGTTGGAGCCAGACGTGGGTTTTTTTATGCTGTCATCTGTGCAGTCAAAAACGTGGCATCTGTAAATTAAACTAATTCTGGACACATACTCTTTCTTTACAGTTTATGCCATCTACCATCTTGCCTTTTCTAATTATCCATGCAACATGTTCTGCCAAAAGTATTGCGAATGAGATTTTAAAAGCGTTGCAAAGCATTCACGTTATTGCTTATTTTAATGTAGTCATCTTTAACATCACATTCTTCATTACTTAAATATCATGACAATCGCATAGGATGGGCTTTAATATTTGTTGGTGTCATTAATATTATCTCACTAAACAAAAACTATACAATTCAACGCACAAACATGAAAAAATATAAAATATCCGTAGCAGTTTTTGCCACCTTTTTACAAGATCCTACTTTTTTCGCGAAACAAAACACACAGCAATCCCATGGGAATGCTACCGCATCCTACAGGAAATTTCAAATTCCTATAGAATCCTTTGGGACGTTTTTTTTATCGGTCAGGATCCTATGGTAAGGGTTGCACACTATAAACAAAAGACAAGTCGGGTCCCCAGGAGAGCACACACATTCAAAACACCATTGGAAGGGTTCAAGTGCACACACTAGTTGAACGTAACATAAACAGTTGAGCCAAATAGGCCAGGAAAGAAGGCAAAAGTGCAGCACTGCAATTACTTGCTCATGCCACTGCCAGTGGAAGGGTCTTCACTAGAGACAGCTCTAGAGAGCCCCCCTCTCTTAGACAGTTCATTTGGCCTACCCATTCTACGCTGGCCAAACATCTGGGGAGAAGTCGGAGTATCCACATCTCACCCTGCCACACGTGACCTGCCGATCGACTTAACCGATGAATTCTAGATTTGAAGCTTTCGTGACTGCAAGGATTCATACTCTTAGTTTTTTCGGTAAAGTCACGTAGGTAAAAAAATGAATTTAGAATTAATAGAAATAAAATAATAAAAATCACGACGTTTCGGAGGCAACACAAGTCTCCGTCATCAGGTGGGACCGTCACAGCCAGATTTGCTGTATCAAGTGAGGCAGGGATTCCAAGATGCAAGTTCCCCCTTAACTTGTATTTAAGAACTTGCCTCCGAAATGTCGTGATTTTTATTATTTTATTTTTATTAATTTTAATTTCATTTTTTTAGCTACGTGACTTTACCGAAAAAACTAAGAGTATTAACCGATGCACCCATCTACGCTGCCAGGATGAAGAGGCGGTATTGGATTTTAAGAAATGTGCACTATTGCTTCAACTGCCGCGCCAGGTAGATGCAATAGAACTGGTGACATCCGTCCAGTGTTGCTGACTGGGGCTGAACGATTTGGGGAAAATATCTAATTGCGATTTTTCTGACAGATATTGCGATTTGATTTGCGATTACATTTTTTAAAGTCAAGCTTCAGTTCATTATTCACTGTGTAATAGATTTAAAACATGTGATGGAGCATTACCACATGATACCATCAAAATATGAACTGCTCTATATATTCTAATGCAAGGATTAGAACTTAAAATATATTAATTTACTTCCAACATGTATTTATAAAAAAATTTTAATTCAAATAGAACAATGAAACATAGAACAATTGTGAAGTTAAATAAATAAAGTTATAATAATAAAAATAATAAAATTGCAAAAAATCATAGCCTTTGCGATTTGATAATCGCATTTTTCAAATTTCTATTAATTGTTCAGCCCTATTGCTGACCATCACACCACGGCAGAGTATCCCCATCACGACGTTATTTATTATAACACAGCACACGTGTGCTCAACAGGCCTGTACTTAAGGACATTTCCTACGGTGATGCCAATTGAAGCCAACAGAATAAAGATTCACTCAAAAGGTCACACAAAATAGGATGCAATTAACCAATGCTAAATTGCATCCAGGTGTCCAGAATGCCTGGCTATCAATGTGTTATAGAATTTCCAAGGCTGTTTTTGTAGCATTTAGAGACATCTGCAGCTATTACTACTGTAGCAGGCTTCGAGGGTATTGCATGTCACGATAATGACAATGTTTCCTTTAAAACAAAAGGTTGCGACAGGATGTGGTACTTTATAATAAACTGAGATAGGAATTAAATGGATTGTACAGCTGTGTCACACAATATCACAACATACTTTATATCGGGCATCAGGTAATTGTCAGTTAATTACCAAATAGCGTTCAGGCTGGCTCGCATTTCTTATACAAGACTAAGTTTTAAAGTACCGCATGAGAAAAGCTTCAGTGAGAAAACCAATGCAATTCAACGTAAAGATTATATTCATTATTATTCCAATTAGATGCCGGGAGCAATCTTTTCCCCTCATGCTGCATAGGCATTCCAAATCCGCATGACTTTTTTTTTGCCATCGAATGTGTCTTGCAATCAATACATTACATATGTGTGCGACTTTAACTCGGTGCCATTTGTAGATCTTAAAGCATGAATGTACCCACTATTTAAGCTCTTCCGCGTGTTGTCTGTTGTTTCGCTGCACGTGCTGGGAGCAGGGCCGTATTATCCAATAGGCACATGAGGCCTAGGCCCTATGGAAACTGAAGGGCCTACGGAAAAAAATGCGACCGTGTTTTTTTGTTTGTGTGTTAAAAAAAGTAAACCCAAGATATCTTCTTGAATAAATATATTTATGGAGCAGGTTGAGGCACATTACATCTAAAATAACAGTCAAACATTTTAAGCTTAAACGAAAGTAAAGCATTTCGATTTAAAGATTTCGTGACTGCAGGGATTCATCTTCTTGGTTCTTTCGGTAAAGTCACGTAGAAGGAAAATAATAAAAAAATAAAACATAATACAATACAATTCTCACGACGTTTCGGCCACAACGCAAGCAGCCGTCCTCAGGTGAAGAACAGGTCTGTCGGAAAGACAGACGCTTTCATGACTGCAGTGATTCATCAAGAACAGGACTATCGGAAAGACAGACGCTGTCTTTCCGACAGACCTGTTCTTCACCTGAAGAAGGCTGCTTGTGTTGTGGCCGAAACGTCGTGAGAATTGTGTTTTATGATGTTTTATTTTTATTATTTTATTATTTCCCTTTTACGTGACTTTACTGAAAGATCCAAGAAGAAGAAAAACCTTAATCCGGCCCTGGCTGGGAGCTGCTTCAGGAACTTGAATTCCCAGCACATGGAGGGGAGAAACCTCAGGGAATGGTGTTGTTGGCGCAGCCCGAAAAACACATCGGGGAGCGTCATTGCACAACCGCAAAAAAAACCTACCCAGTCGTATTACTCACCGTCTCTTCAGCATTTTCTTACCTCATCCGTTTCATCTCCTACCCCCATCCACCACAATCTCATTAACGTGTCTCAGTGTGCTTCTTCTGAGCTGTTTGGCATGCATACAAAATGACCAAGAGGATCATCAATAATCCTGGTACAGTAATTGTAATCCTGAGGACATGACTGTTTTTTTTAAATGCCTTTTTATCTGACGTCGATGACGTGCGTACGTGTTTGCGCGTGTGTCTTTTGTGCGTCTTTCTTTTTTTGCAGTCCGCCGAACCCTGAAGAGTGGGTTAACCCCGGAGGAGGCCCAAGCCCTGGGGTTAATGGGCACCGCGGAGTTGCAAGTGTAGGGAGATGTTCTGCACACAATGTCCCTCCTCCTTTCTAGACCCAGCCCCAGCCACAGATACTTGAGAGATCCACTGTGGCACAAATGTGAACTGTAGACTTTTACTTGTTAAAATGAGCACAAAAATTAATGTTTAATTGTGGCCATCTCAACGATGTCATGCTGTATTGGACAAACGTTGCACACACACACATGTTATTACCAAAGGCTAAAAAGGTGCATAGTGTAATGGAACACAATTACGCTTTCATTCAAACTAATAAGACATTGTGCCTTTAGGAAACCAAAACAGTCGGATAGACTTAAACAAACATTTTACGCAGTCACCAATAAGTCTCGGTCTTGGTACTTGGGTTACTTTTTTAACCACTAAACAAATACAGCCACCTGGGAAAAAATGTACTGTCCCACTAAACATAGCCACTCATATAGCCTTTGCCGTGAAAACACTGACTTTTACGTAACAATATGAACAAAATATTTTAGACTCTTTCAAACTAGTTCCCTGAAAAATATTTTTTTCTAATGAGCATTATTTTATTTTTACTAAACCTACTTTTATAAGTAGCAATTTTGTTTCTAAATTCGTTTTTTTTCTTTCTGTAATACGCTGCCATTTTATTTTAAATGACAGCACTTGTATAACTATTTTGGTGCCCTGAATGGTCACACGTGTTTTATTATTATTATGATTGAAACGTGTTAAAGAAGCATGTATGAATCCAAGAAAATTACTTTCCAAAGGTCTCTTCGAGCATTCTAGTGTGAATGTGTGTGTTTAAGCTCAGATTACACAATGCTTAAAAAAATGAACCGCTGACAAGCAAAAATAAGTAAGATATGTTGTTTTAGGTCAATATTGATGGATTTGTATGCAGTAACTTTATTTCCTTTTTTTCCCCTTCTGTTTAACTTTCTTTTGCGTTTTGTTCCCTTGTTCAAACTTGTTATTTTGAAAAATGCACTTTGTGAAACCAAATGGAACACTTTACGTTGGTAACAGAACATGTTAATCATAGTCACATGTTTAAGTTTGCCTACTTGCTGACTCTCACAAACCACATTCAGCATATTTCTTACTTTGCTTTTATCAAAGTTTTACATATTTCACAACGATTTCAGGGTATTTGCTTGCATTACATATTAATCAGATTGTATTCCCCCGTAGTGAGATTTACCGTTGCTGTGTGGGTTAAACTAAATGTATTTGCCATTGCTTGTTAATAGTTAAGTACAACTCTGTGGGTATCCAGTGTGAACATAGTTTGAGACTAGTTAGTCTAAACAGACATATTTCATGGCACCATTCATAGCAAACCAGCGTCAAAACCACGCCACTTTAACAAAAACAGATTCATACTTTCAACATTTCAGTCCACAGGAAAACAGTCATACATCTTGAATTTTGTACTTTTTTTCTTGTTTTTTTGCATTACATCTAAGTCATCATTTTGCAAACTCATAAGATACATCGTTGGGATATTTTCATAAAGTACTTTAGGCGTTCAGCACCTTGTGTTTTGCGTAGTGGTTTTAAAAAACACTCAGCAGCCCAAGATGTAGACGGACGAATGCTGTTTAGGGTTGAATGTGTGTTGATTCTGTTGAGTAGAGCTTTGTGTGACAGAATGGTTGGAGAGTTTGAGACGGCGCTGTTTTACAGGGCGAATGCTAAAATGCTGACGTTTAAAGAAGAAAAATGAAGAGACTATTTTTCTAACATTGCCCTAAATGCTGTAAAAGTAAAAAAAAACCTTCATAAATAATATTGATTGCAGCCAGTTTTGGGAAAGACAGTGATCTGCAAAACAATAATATTGTTTCCCTATGTAAGGTGATCTAAGTGGAGTCGTTTGTAGGAAATGTGTAATGTGTATCTGTCATTTGCAAAAGTCTGCCATTGGCTAAGTATTTAATATTATGTTGTTTTGGTAATGAAGTACTGTGTAACTATGTACAATCGACTACAACTTAGCACATGGACTTTGATTAACACTCTATGATGCAGTTTGTGTTCTCTTTGCTGTGGTTATTTGCAATGCAGTTTGAATGGAGAAATTGTTCCTTTGGAAAGGAATGAGCATGGGTTAGGACTTCATACCAGAAAAATTAAAACGAGAACTGCATCATTATTGAAAAAAAACAATTGTAATGATGCTAAAACAGTAATTTTGGCGATGTGATAGGATTTTGAAACTGCATAAACAACCGATTTTATTTTTTGTGATATAGCATTGCCATGAGAATAAGGGTTTGTGAATGTGCTTTTAGAAGGGCATATAGGTTACAGGTACGGTGGTCATAAAATATTCCATCCAAGTTGTTTTTTTAGTTTTGAGTGATTGCATAACAGGCCCGAGATCAGCGCCACGTGGCAAGTGAAACGTCCGTATATCTAAACAACAACAACATTCAGCTCATGCATTAAAAACAAGAAATTACAACACGTATGGAAAAAAAACTGAGCAAACTCATGCAAAGTGCTTGTCTGTGTCTTCTGAACTCTTTGGTGTACATTGTATACATGTGTACAATAGAGATCACAGTTTTCAAAAATGAAAACTATGTGTGTACAGTTTGTGTGTGTGTATATGATATATTGTCAAGCGAGAATCACATTTTATTTGTAAGATAATATCTTATTTGAATGAACTAGGCAACAGTATTAGGTGCTATTTCAGCAATACCTATGGTCCCCAAAGCCATGAAAGTGTAATTTGGGCATCGAAATTAGTTGAGTAAGCACTACAACTTTATTGTTATTTTTTTCTCTCCCAGAAATGCTTACGAGGCAAAAATGTAACCAACTTTTTTGTGAAAAGTTGATATTAATTTATTTTTTCTCTAACTTTTTACAATTTCAATTAACATCCCTTTGCTAAACAAAACGTACTGGCACCCGTTTTATGCGTTGTTGGAATATCCACTACATATTACATTAAACCATTAAAACTGTAACTACCAGATAGTAATAACTTTGGAAATACATTTGAAGGTATTGTTCCTGTCCAAATAAAATATCACGATGAACTACAAATTACTCCAAACTCAGCGTCTATTTTGCATGTAAGATATCTAATGAAGCTTTTTATTGTAATAAAACAATCTCTTTGAATATTACACGGTTCTTGCTTATGTTTTGTGTGCAATATATAACACCAATTAGGAAGTAACGAACTAATTAATTCATAATCATGTTTAATTGCTAATTAGAAGTCCTGCTAAGGTTAAGCATATTCAGTACCACACATAAAAGTGAATATTAAAGATAAGCCACAGTACAACTGTGGCCATACAACTCAAACTATGGACCAAAGAGTAAACCACTGTAGTTTGCAATCCTTCAATGGAAGAGGAACCAGCACAACTACACTAACTCGCTCCCGAAGCCCTCTCGTGGCCAGCAGACCTCGATGTTGCCATTCAATTCCTGAACGCATTGCTGCCACACGCAAGAATAGAAAAGTAGCCACAATACACATACCATTACCTGGCAATATAATAGGAGTGCTCGATTAAATCAAACCTGCACTAAATAATCGATCCCACGAATAACCATCATCAAATTGGATCTTCTTCTTGGTTCTTTCGGTAAAGTCACGTAGAAGGGAAAGAATAAAATAATAAAAATAAAACATAATAAAATAATTCTCACGACGTTTCGGCCACAACGCAAGCAGCCGTCCTCAGGTGAAGACCAGACGCTGTCTCCCCGAGCGTCAGACGCTGTATCCCCGAAACGTCGTGAGAATTATTTAATGTTTTATTTTTATTATTGTATTATTTCCCTTCTACGTGACTTTACCGAAAGAACCAAGCAGATGAATCCCTGCAGTCACGAAAGCTTTAAATCGAAATTGGATCTTAATTATGTTTTTGTTATTGGCTACTAGTTAACGTAGTCGCCAAAAACAGGAATCCAGAAAAGAAGCAATGGCAGGCAACACTAGCACAGTCGAAGGTAATAGAGGCACACAGGGCGACCGAGAAAAGATTGGCCTCATGAGGTGAAAGAGGAGGCATGAGAAGAGAGAATGACACCAGCAGAAGGGATATGATGACGATGATGAGGATCACAAACAGTTGCCAGCAGCCTTCTTAAAGGGACTGGACAGGATGAGAAAGAGAATAAGATTACTTTTGCTCGACTACATTGGAAGCTGCGCCAATGTGAGCACATGCCAAGCCACCCGTACATAGTAGCTGTTAAATGATGCACAACTCTTTGTGCATTCGCTGCTGGGTGAAGGCCTTCCCACACTGTGTTAGTCATGGGACTTGTTTGACCATACCTAATCACCAGTGGCGGCTCCTGCAAAATCTCTCAGGGGGGGGGGGGGGCAAATGTCTGGATGATTGATAAGGATAAGGTCCACCCATGCAATGGATAAATTAACAGCTTAAGCATGTAAAGGCAACTTCACTTCTTTAATATTAATGAAAAATAAAGTGACTCTTACAATACATCTTGTTTGTTTCTATACTCACTATTAAAACAAACCACTAGGTGGCGACAAATTATATTGTTGGATGAAACGTGCTTACGTATGATGACGTAGGCACGTTAGTGCGAGCCCTCCCAGAAGCCATAGAGAATGCATTGCAGCGCCCGCCGTTCGAAAAAAAACATCTTTGAATGTAAGTCTATGGGGCCACTCGGGGCGATTCTCAGCCGGAGTGAAATCGCTCAAAAAGAGGCGGTACTCCACAGAACGTGACATGACGCTGATTGGACTATATCCAGAGGCTGCAGTGACGGCTCGTGTGACTCTGTGGTTGAATGACATTGGTGGTGCGTCGCCCAATCGCCCTAATGAAGAAACCGCCCCTGCTAATCACACCGGACCATAATAATTTAACTCCCTTCCTCCCTTGTGATTCATGAAATTTTCCTCGATTCGATTGAAGAAAAACAACCCTCACAGGGACCTCTAGTGGCGGGAGGGGTCACAACAAGCCATCACATAGATCTCTTGACTAAACAACACTGATTCTTACAAACTCGATTAAATGCATGTATCGTGAGCGTAAGAATCGCCACCAATCAGAGACGCGATGCATCGCTGCACCCAAATGAATATCATACGAATAAGCGCACTGGTATTCAAAGCCTAATTTGTTATTTCGTTTCTGTGTCATTATCCCCTCTACTGGTTCGACCACTTAATTTCCTCCACTTCAGTGTGCAATCCCAAGGTTAATTTGACCAAACGGTGTTACGTTCAGTAAGTCATGAATTGCATAACAGGCATAACAGACCAGCGCCATTTCTCGTGAGAACTTCCCTGGCCCATGAGAAACATCCATCTTTGAATTTCGATTTAAAGCTTTCGTGACTGCAGGGATTCATCTTCTTGGTTCTTTCGGTAAAGGCACGTAGAAGGGAAATAATAAAATAATAAAAATTAAACATAAATAATTCTCACGACGTTTCGGCCACAACGCAAGCAGCCGTCCTCCGGTGAAGAACAGGTCTGTTGTGAGCTTAAGAATCAGACAGACGCTGTCTTTCAAACAGACCTGTTCTTCACCTGAGGACGGCTGCTTGCTTTGTGGCCGAAACGTCGTGAGAATTATTTTATTATGTTTAATTAAAATTATTTTATTATTTCCCTTCTACGTGACTTTACCGAAAGAACCAAGAAGATCCATCTTTGACTTTTGTCTTCCCACTGGCAATGAACCCATGACCACAGAGGCCCTTGGCTCTGTACCACGACAGACATTAACCCGAATAGACCATGATCCACCCAGCCACATCGTAATGAAAACGCATTCATGAAGCTCTTTCATCTGTATTATACTTTATCCACGACTCTCCTCACTACTTTACATGGCTACATTCCAAAAAGTGTTTGTGTCCTTTGTAAAGTGTGTTTTCATTGAAGGGTCCAGAAGACACGATTTTACCGCAAGCCACGATTTTATCAATCTGATTGACCATGAACATAAAACTTCTGTAAGGGATGTAACTTCCCAAGTCTGTCTCCTACAAAGGAACATAACAGACCCACGCATCTCCTCTTCCAATCACTGCACTTAAATTTAAATCTTAAAAGTCACGTTTTATACGTTACAGTTATTTATGCAATGGACTTTTAAGTTTGTCTGAAATTACAAAATAGCCATAGTTTATTCTCGACAAGTGTACAGTGCTGTATATCTGATTACCTATTGAGTGCAGTAAAAGCGAATACATTTCTGCAGATATTTTGGAATTGACTTGACTCCAAACCAAAATTGGGAAAAAAAGGAATCTGCTCCATATTTGGCTGGGTTGCCGAGGAGCAATAGCAGGTGGGTTTGTGCCAGGAATGTTGGTCTGGGCAGGGATGCAGACATGAGTCAAGGGGACGACATTGCTGCAGTGGAAAATGTTGGTAACGTTATATTACACCTCAACGTGCAGAGCAGACACGCGTGTGCGATCCGTGTGTGGTTGTGCGTTTCCGCACCCAAGTCAAAAGAGAATACAGCGCTCGTGTGGATTTATCATTTTCTCTGGGTGCTCGCTTTGGATAGATTGATGTACCTACTAGGACTACCCTTTTGCAGATGCGTGGAGGTGTGCGTGTGGTGGATAGGGTGTGGCAACATTGGCTGGACAATCTTGGCCCTTTTGCCATTCACTTTTAAGCTTGCAACTTAATGCCAAATGTGCCATCTACTGGTCACCTGTATGTACTACACATTGCAGGACACGCTTATGGGGTTGACTTTGAAAGGTATTTTTTTTTTATGATCATGCACACGAGCGGCAAATATCGAAACCCAACGCTGCTTTTGTCCCCCGGTTGCTTTGCTATTTGATCAAATTCCACCATTTAAGTTTACAGAGAAAAAAATTACGTCAAATTCAAGAAACATCCTCTTGAAAATACTTTATTTTTAAATAGCAGGACTGCATTAGCAGTGGTGCAACAAGCATAAATAACAAACACGTAATGGCTTTAAAAGCAGTGCCACTGTTACGCGTGTTTTATTTCTTGAAAGCGCCACCTTTTACTCCAGTAGCCAAGTTATGTCGACTCCAACTTTGCAGCAAGTGTCTTTCGAGTTCTCCGAACACGTCTGATCTTGTTTATAATGATAGATGGCCTTAGGTCAAGGCGCTCTACATAGTTTAACAAGCAGTAACAAGAACAAGAAAGTGATTTAGATGGCAGGGGGCGTGCAAGGGCCGAGGAATGAGTGGCCACAAGAGAGGGCACACAGGGGTCACGAAAGGGCAGGGGAGGGATGGGAAGCAGTGGAGGGGCGAGGGGAGGGAATGAGGAAGAGAACGGGTAATGGAGAAGAGGTGGAGCTTTGAGAGAGGAATGAAAAGAGACAGAGAAGTTTAGTAGTAGATTTTTACCCTTTAAACTGGTACGAAACTGACAAAGGTGTCAGTTTTGTACCAGTTTAAAGGGTAAAAATCTACTACTATCTTTTGCCACTGGTAAAGGAGGTCTCATAGTGTAAACAGAGAAGTTTGTGAATGTGGGGCAAGGCCATGGAGAGATGTCAGGTCTTTGAAAAGACAACGGATTGGTAAACTGGGAAGCAAGTGTAGTTGAAGGAGGAGAGGTGAAGTGTGAGACATAAATTGGAGGTTGAAAGAAACCCACGCAGACGAATTCTGAATTTGTTGGAGGGGGGTGAGAAGTGTAGGCTGGGAAACCCATTGGACATTACAACACCCATGTTTGTCAGGTGGGCTCCAGATAAATGAGCAAATACAAGGCATGCACAAGAAGTTCACCAGACAACTGGAAATATATGCTAAAGGGTCGCAAATGGAAGCCACATCAGAATATGCATACAGTACCCATGCTTATACAGTTATGTAAGACAAACCGAGATCAAATTGATGAAATAACAAGACAGATAAGATGTAGTGCTTCTGAATGGCTCAGCTTGATCACGAAAGGCTAGAGACAAATGTGCCTTGATAGTAAAGCTTTTAATCAGTGCAGATCAGAGATCAAACTAAATAAATATAACAAACGCTGATAGGTATTCAGTGAAGCATGGGGAGATGCACACTTACAATTACAATGAGATCGATATGAAGAGAAACAGATTACAGAATATACATGCAAGCTAGAT